ATGTCCAGAAGTTAATATCGAAAAAGAAATCGATGAAACGACGGAGCTGAATTTCAGAATCGATGAAATTCTGGGAAGGATTCAAGCTTTTAAAGACGGTCGTTACGCTCAGACCAATGCATTCGGAGTTGGGAGTGGAACGACACAAATTATTACGTCAACGCCTTCCAGAGAAGCTGAAAACGTTGAACAAGCAACAAACAACGAACATGGTCTCAATACAAGCGGGGTTACCATGGGTTCTGTTGCCATTCGTCTGCCAAAAATAACGCTCCCACGATTTAACGGAGATATAACACGTTTCATGTCTTTTTGGCAGAGTTTCGAGAATGCCATAGATAAAAACGAAAGCATAACTGCAGTTGATAAGCTCAACTACTTGGTGAATTTGTTGGAGGGTCCAGCATACCGTGCAGTATCAGGACTCGAACTGACGGAACAAAATTATTTAAATGCAATGGAAATTTTGAAGGCAAGGTTTGGCAACAAACAACAAATAATCTCGACGCATATGCAGGCTCTCCTTGGGCTACAAAACTGCCCAAACGAAAACGTGAAGCAATTGCGCTTCATTTACGACAGCATAAATGTACACGTAAGGGGGCTTGAAGCCCTTGGTATGAGTTCTGCAAGTTATGGCAGTTTATTAGTACCAATCCTTATGGCAAGAATGCCGCGAGAAATTACATTGCATGTCGCCAGAAAGACGACCGAGGAAGTTTGGCCGATAAAAGAAATATTGGAGATTGTCAAAAAGGAAATTGAAGCCAGGGAACTGAGCGATAACATCAAGCCCGTCGAAAAGAAATGTGACAAAACTTCAGGATATGGACCAAAATCACCACAAGGCACTACGAAGACATTTTTGACGAAAGACGAAAAAGTGCAAGATTGTGTTTATTGTGGGCATGCACACTCTCCGTCAAGCTGCAAAGAAGTCCAGGAAATAGCGGGTAGAAAAAAGATCCTATTGGAGACCAAACGATGTTTTTCCTGCTTAAAATCTGGACACATGACAAAAAAGTGTCGGGAAAATCGAAATTGCAAAAAATGTGGCAGAAATTTTCACCACGAGTCAATTTGCTACAAAGGAGCAAAACAAACGGAGGAAGAAACAAAAGTAACTACCAGTGTTACAGGAAAACAAGAAGTATTGCTGCAGACGGCCACTGCATATGTTTATGGGGCAGACAAGGCTCAGAGGATGAAAATCAATGTTTTCTTCGATAGTGGGAGCCAACGAAGCTACATCTCTGAAGAAGTCAGACGAAAACTAAATTTGGAAGTCGAAAGACAGGAAAACTTAAATTTGAACACATTTGGAACTGAGAAATCAGTACGCAAGAAATGTGACGTCGTTAAGTTAATGTTAGAGACAGGAATAGATGAGACGCCAATTTTGATAAGCGCAATAAGCTATCAGTCTATTTGTTCGCCTATAAATACGCGCATAGACGTAAGCAAGTATCAGCATTTGATAGGCCTTTATCTAGCGGACAAGAAGCTAAGCGAGCAAAATAGGCGCATTGATTTGCTTATTGGTAATGATTATTTATATGATGTAATCATTGGTGATGTTATTAGAGGTACATCAGGGCCAATAGCAGTAAGTAGCAAATTAGGATGGCTACTTTCGGGAAAAGTACCAGGATCCTTGGAGCCTAAAACCTATTCTAAAGTGACTTCTAATTTGATTTTAGATACGTCAGTTGGAAGGCCTGTCGAAGAAAATGAGGAAATAACACAAACGCTTCGCGAGTTTTGGAAACAAGAATCATCCGGGATTGACAAGGGGAGTGAACCCACAAATGAAGACAAACAAGACGAGCAATTTGAAATCACCTTTAATGGTAAAAGGTACCAGGTAAGCCTTCCTTGGAAGGTTGATATATCTTGCCTTAATGATGATTATAACTTGGCATTAAATCGCTTAAAATCTTTGCTTTGCCGGTTAAAAGGAAACCCTGAATTATTATCTGAATATGATAACATTTTCAAAGAGCAATTAAACAACGGAATAATTGAGCAAGTCCCTGTGGAGGAGGAGAATCAGGGTAATCCTCATTTTATGAGTCACCATGGTGTAATTCGACGAGATCGTGAAACAACAAAACTTCGGGTTGTTTTTGATGGAAGTGCGAAATCGCACAAGGAAGCTTTATCTCTTAATGAATGTTTAGAACTTGGTGATAATTACATGCCGCCATTATTCGATACGTTATTACGTTTCCGCTCACATGCCATTGCTATAACAGCTGATATTGAAAAGGCATTCCTTCAGATTGAAATTGATGACAAAGACCGGGATGCTTTACGTTTTTTGTGGTATGACGACATTAGTAAGCCGAATCCAACGGTTATTCAGTATAAGTATTGTAGACTGGTGTTTGGTTTAAGACCATCGCCATCTATACTGGGAGCCACAATTAAGAAACACATTGCTCAATATGCTAATCGATTTCCTCGTGTTGTTAAAGTGTTAGATCGGCTTTATGCTGATGACTTATCATGTAGCACAAATTCTATTGATGAGGCGTTAGAGATTTTCCATAAGTCACGGGAGATTTTGTCCGAAGGTGGGTTTAACCTTCGCAAATTTAAAACTAATGACACAGCTTTGTTACATGAAATCAAAAAGGTGGAAGCAGGTAACGTATCCAATGGTGATAATGCGAAGGAGATCATACAAGATGATCAATCCTTCGCTCAGCAAACAATAGGCCCACCTCAAAGGGAAAATAATAACAAGGTCCTTGGAGTAAATTGGGAAAGTAAAAAGGATGAACTGTTTTTTGATCTGGGGTCCATTATAGAACTAGCAAAAACACTTAAGCCCACAAAGCGCTCTCTTTTAAAGTTACCAAGATTTTTGACCCGATCGGTTGTCTTAGTGTGTATACCATCAATTTGAAAGTGCTCTTTCAGGAACTTTGCGTAGACAAATGGGGTTGGGATGAAGAGCTTACAGGAGAAGCAAGGGAAAACTATGATCGTTTCATTTCGGAAATAAGTCGTTTAGACGGGATTCGCATGCCAAGATGTTTTTTTGACCCAGGTAAAATAGTAAGCCAAGTCGAAATACATGGGTTTTCAGATGCCAGCGAGACTGCTTACGCTGGAATTGTTTATCTCCGCATTGTGTACGATACGGGGGAGGTAAGCATCAAGTTTGTCACTGCCAAGGCCAGGGTTTGTCCTCTAACAAAACAAAGCATACCACGTTTAGAGCTTTTAGGGGCACAGTTACTCGCAAAATTAATCAGCACAGTAAAAGGTACTCTTGGGGAGGAGCTTCGCGGCACGCCGATCAAAGTATTTTATTGGGTAGATTCGGTTTGCACCCTTTGCTGGATAAAGAACAATAAGGTTTGGAAGCAATTTGTACGCCATCGCGTGTCGGATATTTTACGAACTTCAAGCCGCGATGAATGGTTTTATTGCCCGGGATCTCAAAACCCAGCTGATTTACCGTCAAGGGGTATATTTGGTCGCAAGTTAGAGCAAAATCTTTTTTGGTGGGAGGGTCCGGGGTTTCTAAAACAGCCACCCACAAAATGGCCTAAGCAAGAAGATATTTTCGAATCCGGTTCCGCTTTAGAGGAGAGAGTAAAATGTAGCCCCAATATCACGCATGCTATAGCAACTAAGGAAAACGCCAAAGTTGGCAACGTTGTAGATTTTGAAAGGTTTGGTTCTTACCAAAAATGTGTCCGTATATTAGCATGGGTACTTCGTTATATACATAATTTACGCGCATCGTTAAAAAACAATGCTTGTCAACGAGAAAATCAGATAAATATAGAAGAATTTGCTAACGCAGAAAATGTTCTTATACGCTCAATTCAAGGTGAATTCTTTTGTAAGGAAATTGATTATTTACAATCAAAAGGGGACACAAAAACCCCTTTGTACGTTTCGCAATTTCAGCTCTTCGTAGACGAAAAGGGCATTTTGAGGTGTCAAAGTCGTATAAAAAATGCATCCGTCATAGAGTCAAGCATAAGACCAATCTTGTTACCGAAGTTTCATCAGGTTTCCAAATTGCTTGTTCTCTATTGCCACGAAAAAGTCATGCACGATGGAATAAGGGAAACGTTAAATCTTTTACGACAAAAGTATTGGATTCCTCGTGCAAGGGAATTAGTTAAAAGTATTGTACGCAAATGTATCACATGTAGGAAATTAGAAGGTTTGCCATATTCTACTGTATTTTGTCCAGACTTGCCACGAATGAGGGTCGATGATCAGCCCCCATTTGCAAATACAGGGCTAGATTTTGCAGGTCCATTGACAGTTGCAAGTAAAGGTAACAATGATGGAGAAGAGAAGTTTTATGTCTGTCTTTTTACTTGTATGTCGACAAGAGCAGTTCATTTAGAACTTGTAGAATCACTCAATGTCGAGTCATTTTTACGAGCGTTTCGAAGATTCGCAGCACGTAGAGGTTTACCGTCTCTATTGGTAAGTGACAACGCCAAGACCTTCAAGTCAGCTTCAAGGGATGTAAAACATCTTTTGCGTTCCCCTAGGTTAGGTGAAAGTCTTGAAAAGAAAGGAGTTAAGTGGCAATTCATAGTTGATAGAAGCCCATGGCAAGGAGGTGCTTGGGAAAGGTTAATAAGGAGCGTAAAACGTTGTCTAAAAAAGGTAATAGGTCGGTCATACCTAACGCAAATAGAATTAAATACCATCTTGATAGAGGTCGAAGCAGTAATCAACTCTAGGCCAATTACTTATGTATATGATGACACTGACGGTATTTCATATCCATTGACACCGTGTCAATTAATTAATGGAAGAAATCTATCACTTTTGCCCCAAGACAGGTACTATGAAATGCTAAGTACATACGAGGTCCTGTCAAAACGAGCCAAGTATCATAAGACTCTACTTCAACAATTCACGAAGAGGTGGAAGAAGGAATATTTAACAGGTATTATGGAAGCCTATAGACCGAAAGACAAACGGGAAGAGCCAGTCATATCGGTTGGAGATATAGTTCTTTTAAAGGATGACGATAAAAAACGCACTTTTTGGAAGTTATGTAAAATTCTTGAGTTGATTGTAGGTACAGATGGAAGAGTAAGATCAGCAAAGATACAAATAGCAGGTGAAAGGAGTAAGGGTAAAGTATTCAGACGTCCCTTGAAATTACTTGTACCTTTAGAAATTGCATGTAAGGAACCTAACACAGAAGCAAATCAAGTCAACGCACCTATAGCGCCTGCGCAGCCAGCAGATAGAACTATTACGCGATCTAAGCGCGCAGCTGCAAAGTTAGGAGAGTTTCTTAGAAGAGACAATATGTAAATATTTCAATATGTATACGCTTACAGTTTCAGCTTGCTTAAAAAAAATGTTCTTACGTTTTGTTGATGAATAATGATTAATTAATATGTATTATTGTAAATTGAGTGCAGGCAACTCAATCGGGGGAGTATGTTGTGAAGTCAATATATTTCGCAGCCCAAGCCATCATGGGGGATTCCTACTCGTCCCAGTCTTCTTACGTTATATATTCACGCCCTATATTGTAAAGTTGTTTTGAAGTAGTGAAGTTACGATAAAGTCACGCTACAAGTTTATGATGGGCTAACAAGTTACGTTTACGTTATAGCTGTATATAGTCACGTTTTGTATATATTTAAAGATAAAATCAACGATATGGAGTTTCATTCACGTCTACGCTCTACCGAAGCTATGTTCAAAATAGGTGTAAAGTGTTTCCATTTGGTAACGATAGACAATGGATCAATGGAAACAATGATTCTTATAAATAATATCAGAATTATGCCAGAGTTATGCTAGATTCCAAATTATGCTAGATTTTATGCTTAATGACGATATTACGCTAGATCAGGTCACACTGGCACCAGCCCATAATGGAGTGGCTGGAACGGGACTAAAAGGCTTGCCCCTAAATTTTTTACGGACACGCTCTTTGAAACACCGGAAAACACTACTTTCAGGAAATATTCGCTTCAATCTGTCCTTATTCATAAACATAACGATTTAAAGAAGATTTTAATTAACATAAAAATACAAAACCGAGCTAGATAAAATACAAATTTATCTTTGAGCACACAAGATAAAGCACAGTCAAAAAGAACAAAAACGTGTTCCTAGCAGAACTGCTACTAATGGGTTCGTTAGCGTAAATTTTCAAAACATTTTCTAAGCCATTATTGCAAAAAAGTTTGGGAGGACTATAGTCCCTGTCATGCAACATTCCCAATTGAATGTTCCTCCCAGCAACGACCGAGAGACTTATCATCGTTCAGCTGCTGTAGCCTTGTGAGAAATCTTTCCGATGATTCTCCAATTTAAAACACCTTAGTTGAATTGCTTTATAGCTTTTTCTGAAATCTACTGAAAGATATCACATAAACCCCAAAATACATTACGGGCAGGAGATCATAATCTCGGTCTTTAGGCTCAGTGTCTTTTTTGAAGCAAACTAAATTGAGACGATGTCTTGACATCAAAGCTGTATACAGAGTCCATCTTACTTCAAAATAGCACACAACAATATCATAAAGCGCAATTGATTTTTCTCCGCATGTACTGAAGCTTCGAGTTCTGAAGTTTCTTAATTCTTTTTAATTGTCCATTGCTCATTTCTTAGCGCAGTTTTCTTTTAAAAATGTGTGCAATACATGAGGATGGGATTGGGCATTCACTTCGAATTGAAAAAATGTTCCCATTTTTTTCTTAGGCGTTTCGATTGGTATTTTATGTTGCACTTTTAAGAACATACATTATTTACAAATCCACACTTTCTACAATTACAGATCCACAATTTTAATTTACAACTCCACCAATTGTGTCAGATCCACGCTTATTTTAGGCCCTGTTGTTGAAACTTTAACTGCAGGAAATGGTACAGAATACATGAGATAGGTGGTCTCGGGCTGAATATTGTAAAAGGACAGAATTTCGTTAAGGAAACTTTTGCTTGTTTGCTGTTTGAATTTCATTTGCGTGCTTGACTTTTGTTAGCACCTTGGCCAATTTCCATGTAACAGCCTGTCTTGTGATCAGCTCCTTTGTTCTGTTTTGTATAACTGTCCTAATTATCTTAATTGCTGTTGAGTAAAATATTTGTTGGCTTTTGTGAGTAATTCAGTCGTTTAATTTAGTCGCTAAGGTTTAGACGTGATTTCAGATGTTCGGATAGCCGTTGTTATTTCAAGAAGTTTGAAGCATACCAGTTTTGCCGAAGTGACCCGTTTAGTCGTTGTTGAATTAGATGAAACTATAAGAACCGTCGAGCCAAGAAATCAGAACACGCTTATTGAATTTTGTACTTTCTTTTACTGCCGAATCTGCGAACACAAGCCTGTAAAACCCTCGTAAACTCAGTGATTTTACATTGGTGACCACGACGTGACGGAGAAATTGGTAAAAAAGAAAGCTGGTATTTTAGAAGAAATATGTCGAATTTTAATCGTAGAAATGACTTGCTATATTTGCGTGCAACAGACGGTCGTCCAGTCTGCAACTACTGTAAAATGGTTGGACATGTTGTCAAGTACTGTCGCAGTCGCCCGTTTATTCATCCACCAAAAGATTATCGCACGAATGGATTTCCTCGTTGGTTTTCTACAAAATTTAGCCGATATAACGACGCACAATTTGAGGAAGAATTCCAGCACATCTGCAAACTAATTGAAAACTTGAAATGTATTTTACGTCAAGTAGAAGAGATAATGCACAGAAAAAGGGAAAATGTTGCGAGACAAGATAGGGGACAAAAAAAAGTTTGAATTTGAAAATAATGAAATCGCACCCAATGAACAGGAAGATTGTGTCATACCAGAACAGTCGATTTATAAAGGAGATGCAAATAGGGGAGGCAGCTATTACCAAAGAGCAGGGGAAGCAAACAAGATTGTCAGGAAACATAGCACGCCAAGCGGTACCAAACAATTTTGGAATGGAGTCACTTGAAGCAAGCGAGGACGCTTGTCCTTGAAGGGGAGAGTTATGTAAAAGGACAGAATTTCGTTAAGGAAACTTTTGCTTGTTTGCTGTTTGAATTTCATTTGCGTGCTTGACTTTTGTTAGCACCTTGGCCAATTTCCATGTAACAGCCTGTCTTGTGATCAGCTCCTTTGTTCTGTTTTGTATAATTGTCCTAATTATCTTAATTGCTGTTGAGTAAAATATTTGTTGGCTTTTGTGAGTAATTCAGTCGTTTAATTTAGTCGCTAAGGTTTAGACGTGATTTCAGATGTTCGGATAGCCGTTGTTATTTCAAGAAGTTTGAAGCATACCAGTTTTGCCGAAGTGACCCGTTTAGTCGTTGTTGAATTAGATGAAACTATAGGAACCGTCGAGCCAAGAAATCAGAACACGCTTATTGAATTTTGTACTTTCTTTTACTGCCGAATCTGCGAACACAAGCCTGTAAAACCCTCGTAAACTCAGTGGTTTTACAATATTATACTTGAATTGGGGGAGGAGGCGCAGTCAAAAAATAAATTTTTGTAATTTGTACGGCATTCTTTAAGTTTTAGTGCAAAGATAAGATAGGAGGTCTGAAAGTTATGAGCCGTCGAGGATTACATTAATTGTTGATGGATTATCTAGTATTTTGTTAGCTCATTGATTAGCCCCCCATAGCCCCCCCCCCGATTCATAGACAAAGTGTAAGTCCACATCTAGTATGAAAATATGCTATCATAAATAAATTTAGTGAAACTGCATACAAAAAACTGTTTCACAACCGAGAAAACTATTATCAAGCTTCAAAGAACTAAGGGAAAAAGACTAGTTGTATCCATCAAGAAAACTTTGAAAGGGTAAAATGTCAGAGTGGAAAATCAGCTAAATATGATGAAATTTTTCAGATAATTTATGTTAGAAAGATTGACGGAAAAAGTTTCTGCACAAGCTTCATATTTTGTGGGCGGATGAGTTTTCTATATATTATAAACAGTTTTTTGGCGGTGCAGAACTTGAAAATGGTTTTGAAAAAAGCAAAAATTTTATAACATAAAATGTAATAAGCTGTTTGCTCTTTTCAAAGCCATATACTATAAATTTTCCCCTGATGTATGTGCAGAAATTGCATCCTTGAATCTTGATGTTTTTCCCAGAAATTACTCGAAAATTTAATGAGGTTGATTCAAATTCACCTGCAATGTATTCGGCAATTTTCATTTTGAAAACTTGGTATTACGGTAATATCAAAACATGCTCGTGGGGTTACGGTAAAAGGGAAATTTTCTTCCTGAATCACGGTATTTGATACCCCCCAAATTATCCACCCCCTAGTCATTTTGGGATTTCCACTGACACGAAAACGAGACAGTTTGAAACGGAGTCGCCCATCTTCCTTTTCGAAAATGTCCGGCGAGAGAAAGCTCTTCTCGAAAGAAGAAATCAAGCAACACAACGATGGGCGATCCTGCTGGTTAATTATCCATGATAAAGTTTATGATGTTACTGAATTTCTAGAGGAGGTAGATTGTGATAAAAATACCTAAGTTTTTTTGTCTGAACAGACATTTTAAACTCGTCACCATTTCAATTGTCGAAGATTTTGGCTCTCGGCCTGGCCTAGGCTAAGTTGCCATAGCACACACATTCTTAAAAAATACCTGCGATTCTTGAATATTATCAAATTTACAAATGTTCTATGAAAAATAAGTAATTTTACAGACTAGAAACAATGTCTTTGTAATATCCTACATTTTTCTTGTAGCATCCTGGTGGAGAGGAAGTGCTTCTGGAGCTCGCAGGTTGTATTTCGATATTTTATTTTAAATGAGGGCATCTCCTGGTGCTGCCTTTTTTTATTTTCATGGATATTATCAAGCTATTTTAGCTTGAAGTCCACTTTGCATATACAAACATCGCTGTGGCGTACCCAAGGGGGGGAATGGGGGGTCCGATATAAAACTCATTGGGAAGGGGGGGGGGTAGTATACTGTATGCTTGTGTCAATAACAATTGTAAAATGCTTTGCTATTTACCGTAGCTAACACGAATAAAAAAATGGGGGGAAATTTTGAAATGAAAAAATCATGAATCAAAAAATGGGGGAAAGGGCGTTTCCCCGCAATTGCGAGTGTTTGAAGGGCGTTGTCCCAAAAATATTTCTGATGGCTATGCCCCAGACCCCCCCCCCCCACTATTGCAGCACTGGGTACGCCACTGAAACATCGGATTTTTGGTTCGGCACACTAAGCAAATTTAAGCAATTTATGCAATTTAGTTGAATTGATCAGGAGAGGGCATGAGTAAAAAAAGGTGGTATTAGGCTGCTTAATGCTAACTTTAGTAGAATTAATCACCTATAAGCAATGAAATAATTGTTTTTCATATTTTCAATAGGTTCTGATGGAAGTGAATCTTTTGAAGATGTTGGTCATTCTACTGATGCAAGAGAAATCATGGAAAAATATCTTGTAGGAGAACTAAAAGAGGTATGCAAATGATCAATCATTTTATTGTGCAAAATTAAGCATATTTAGATAATTACTTCACAGTTGAAATCTTTTATTGTCTTTTAAGATATACCAATGCTCAAGCACTTGGTGGTTCTCTTTGCTTTTCAGTAATCCAGGACTAAGACAGCCCTTCATACAATTGATTTAAGATTCCAGAATTTCACTTGATTAAAGGACTCAATTTTGAAATAACTTATGAAATTATGAATTTTTATGATATTATCAAAAGACTAAACCTTAATTGTTGACTGGAATAATGTAGAAGTATCCTGGAATTTTGAAATCAGTCTTTAGAAATATCCTGGAATTTTTCTCCCAGCCCTTTATTCCCAGAGCCACCCGTACCATGTTTATCCTCTTCACCCACTCAATTAAAATGCCTCCATACACTCTACAGTCCTACTTTAATAAGCAATCTGTGTCGATTGCTACTTTTTGTTGATCGTTATAATATATATATTTTTTATTTGTATTTCCTGACCTTTGCAACCGTGATCCTGGACGCAGGATTGCGAGGGGCGCCTACGATAAATAAACATATCAAATTAAAGCTCCGAAATGTCCCTTGTGGGTTTCTGGCTGATGAGTTGCTTTTTTATCATTTTCTGCCCACTTACAAGCTAGTTGCTCAAAACATACATGGGCACACACAACCACCCCCCATCTGAGTTTGAGGCTGTAACCAGGTGGTAGTGACTACTCCTTATCTCCTTTTTTCTCATTTTTGTATTTTGGGTTTTACACTTTTATTCGCATATTGGTTTTTTAGTTTTTACCTTCTATGCCTATAAAAACATACCATTAAGTAATACCACAAACATACTAGGCATTTCACTAAGTTTCACTAAGTTTATAAAAGAAGTATAATTCTGATAATTTGTTTGCAAACAAAGGTTCCCAGGTCTGGTTCTTTTAATTGTAAAGGGTCTTGTCTTGCAAAATGAGTCTTCTTGCTTATCATATTACTCAACTGATTGTTGGTTCTTCTTTCTACAACAGTCTCCAAAATGTTATGCATTTAAGTTGCAGTTATTATCTATCTTTGTATTTTAAGGAAGAGCGTGTAAAAAAAGAACCAAAGAAAGATGTGAGTATTAATCTATTGGTGCTTTTTCAATAGAACCTTGACTTTACTACGTTCAGTAATTTGAGTCTCAAGCCTAGATCATGCATATTCTTTACGAAATGATATTGTGTAGTGCATAGCATTTTATCATATTATTCCTCACTTTAGTATGCACAGAATCTTATCATTAAATTTTGAATTTTTAATAGTATTTGGATACCATATTAGGGTTCTCTTTCTCAGGAATTAAAGTGTAATCAGAGATGAAAATTACACAATTATTTTGGTTCCATTTTCAAGTTTTATCTGATTTTGAGTTTTTTACAGTGTAGCTTTGTGAACATTCCTCCCAGGCCTGTCAAATCCCCTGCTTGTTTCTCAGCTCCCTCCCTATCTGCTCAGGAAGGGTGATAAGTTGCCTGAGAAGGGTGATTTGTCACTTGGGAAGGGCAATTAATTGCCCATTTTGAAGTTAAGGCTAAGGAAAACCTGCCCAAGGTAAAGGTCTTTGAAATGATTGATTAATGAGTGCTAAAAAAGAAATGATTATATCAAAGTCTCCTGCCTCTTGTTATCAGTTCTATTTCTCAGGAAAAAGGTAAAACATTACAAATTCTAAGTGTTGCAAATCTTTTTAGACAGGGCTGCCAACTGATGTAAAGGAATCTGCTTCAATGTAAGTCACTTTGAGGTTTAGTTATAAACTTCTTGACTTATTGGTGAGTTTTATTGAAAAACATGTTTTCTGCTTTAAATTAACTTATGCATATGGACAATTTTTTGTTTGTAGCATCCTTGCTGCAGTAATTTCAATTTGAAAAATGTTTTTCCTGCTGCAGACAAAATTGTGTTAGAACTAGAGGGACTACATCATGTTTTCAATAAAGTGTTACTATCATTGAAAAAACCCTTTATTATAAATATGTTTAAGCTCATATTGGATCTCTACTTTATCTTTATGAGCAATACTTTTTATCATATTTTGTGTATAACAATTTCAGTTTCCTTTATAAAGTTGTGTGATAGGCCCTTTATTGTAACTGTGTAAGATTCTTTACTATTTTCTAATGAGATGTCATAATTGCTTTGTAGACCACCAATGGTGTTGGTTGCAGCCTCAATTGTTGTCGGTTTGTGTGCAGTGGCTTTTTTCTTTCTGAAGTAACAACACTTCACTTAGAGAAAGCATGGCTGTTGCAAAAGGAAGCTTTGAAGAAATTTATTTATAACATTATTCAAAGTGACATGATTTAAAACTTGTAGTGGATCTGGACAATACTCTCATAATTTTTTACACAAATCAAGGATTTATATAATTTTGAAAGTAACATTCTACCAATGTAGCCAGTACTGATGCTTTCAGCTCCAGAGTTTTCTGTCAATTGTTTCACTTTGAATGAATCTATTATTGAAGCAATATAAACCAATTGGCTCCATAGATGTCAGTGTCAATCTTTTTTGAATCACTTTCTTCACAATGGATTTTGATGTCCTAGATATTTAGAAAACTATTATCGGTTCCATGGTTTTATGCATTCTATGTTTAGAAAACTGCTATCAGTTCTATGTTAAAAGACTATAGAAGACTGCTATGGGAAGCTATCAGTTCTACATGTGGAGTTCCAAGTTTTATGCTTTCATGCCACATTTTGCAGTTGTTCCTCTTATGTAACCTCTTATGTTCCTCTTATGTTCCACTATGTAATCCCGAAGAAATTCATTAAATTCTAACTCCATCACAGGGTGCTAAAGTCATGGTCAATCTTTTTATAATAATAATTACCTTTAAAAATTGTATCATTTATTTTCAACATGTCATTAAATTGACTTTTTTTGGGTCAACCCTAGAAAAATTACATGTTTCTTTGTCAATGAATTGAGAGAGATAGGCCTTATTCTTCATTTTTCTTATTCAGTATCCTTTTAATTCTAGAGGCTGTACTCATTGATAACTTGGAGCAACATTGAAAACAAATAATCCATAGCACTCTTTTTATTTATTCTCAGAATCCTAGTAGTAAGCTTGAAACAACCGTCTGATAGTTGATTGACCCAGTTATTTTCCTTGCAGTGAGCTATACACGAGGAGCGCAAATTCCAACTTCCAGCTGTTTCTCTATATTGATCTTTATTTGATTTCAATGAAAAACAATAGTATTTCAATAAAAAGGGGTTTATTTGAATAAACATAATTTGTTTATTCGGGTGAATTTTCCTCAGGAACCTGCCATCAATTCTGCCGATAAATAAAGCCAAGACCTATTTTAGTTTGGATCTTGCTACCAAAAGAGTATTTTTAGTGCATTTCTGACACGAAGTCTTATAGTATATCCCAATCCAGATTTTTTTTCAAAAGACAATTCCTTCACCTGATGAATGCAGAAAATACATTGCATGAAGTAATATTTTCAATGCTTAGGTACTGATTTAAATGTTTAAATGTGATGCATCTTCTTTTTTCAGTTTTGTGAGGTAGAACAACTTTTTTCGCGTAAATTCCGCATAGGTATTTTGAAATGAATCGATCTAGCAGAGGAAACAAAAATTTATCCCTGTGCTTTATATTGTTAGCGTTGGTACATAATAGATTATGGCTTTATATATAAGTTGATGTTGCGTTTCTATTAATCAAAAGGTGCGAAAATTGCTTGTTTCTTTGTCGGAGATATTCGGATTTTCATCGGGTTTTTATGAGTATTCGCTGAAAGTTCATGAAAGGAGTTATTAGGGAAAACTTTCAAAACCAGCCCATCTGCTTCATCTTTCTGGTCGTTCTGCATGGAATGGAATAAACAGACTTGCAGCGTATCAGTTACAAAGAATGAAACCCTACCTAGACATCTGTACGACAGCCAGTACTTTGTAACATACCGGATAGCAACCGCAAATATTAGATATTTGACGTTGAGTATCCTTTCGTTAAAATCCTTTCGATTTGTTGAATTACCTTACAAATCTTTCTGTTCTTTTTTCCTTCTTCCCGCTTAGTATCATCCTCTTCTTTCCTCATTGGAATCGTTAATTGTTTGCTTTAGCCAACTTTCAGATAAGCTAATATTTATATCATATTTGTTTTTGATTATGGCAAAGTATCACAACAGCTAAATGCGATTTTATCGCTAGGCCATATCTTCCTTTATTTTGTGAACCACGTTGAATAGTTTGTACATTGATCATGAAAAGTTTTCCTAAGTAAAAAGTGAAACCTTGCTGAAATGAAAATTCAAGAGAAACCTTAAATCCACGTCATGTTTAAAAGCTGTCAGTATTTGAACACACATTATTAAGTAACATCTCAACTTCACAGTTTGACTATTGAAGTTACCCTCCAGCAAATGCCTTCCTTCATAAAATTTCTTAATCTAAATTCCTAATTTCACGCAATTTTAAACTAATTGCTGATAATTTTGAGAGAGACCATCTATTTCAAACCGTATGTGATTATAAAAAAAAACAAAGCGCTCTTTCATGTTTCGATTTTTTGTGCGAGAATGCCCCACCACTACATCTCTTCTATAAGTATGAAACATGCTTCAGTACATTGTTAAATCAGGGACGCTGGAACACCTTTTGGAAATGGGTTAAAGGCTCTAAACAAGTTGGCACATCTAATCTAACTCTTACGGTAGATTGACATCTTTGATGCCACAATCACCAAATCATACTTCAGCAAACAAGTGAGAGGGGATGGGTGACAGCCCCCCGGCTCAGGCGTGCCTTTAAATTTGTCCAATATTCATTATAATTCCACGAGTGGGCCAATGTCCCTTCTTAAAAAATACGACGAGATGACACTTTTAATCAAGTTCTTTAAGCTTTGTCTCTATGCAAAACTTTTCTCACCGTGCTACCACCTTGAAAGCAAAATACATTGATATATGATACAACGTTCTTGGTTATATCCTTCAACGATAGAAAGACATGTAGCAGGGGTACAGTTAGGATTTTGAATAATGATAGAAATGTCATATAAGCTGTAAGTTTCAGTAAACTTTAATCCTTAACCAGCAACATAAGAATAGAACTTGACTGTATTATATTAAGGGTTGCTAAAATTCTTGAAAAATCCAGACTTATTACACAAAAATTATTCACGAGATGAAGCAAATTCTGATCTTTTGCATGATTTATTAAACAAGTTTCTATTAAGGGCCATTCAGTTGTCATATCGTGAGAAAATTGCTGGAGGGGTTGAGTTCGAGATGCTGCTCAAGTAACATTTAATAAATCGGCAGGGAATGTTAGCAACAGTATTGTTAAGTTATTATAAAACTTTTATTATATTTATGTGTCTCTATTGGCATTAAAATCGTACCCAGGAAAGACCCATTGTTCTTGACTGCATTACCTTATCACGAGTTCATTGCTACAACGAATCTAAGAAAATGAAAATAAAGGAACTGCAATGTAAAATGAAAAGTTTTTCTCATTTCTTGTACCCATTTGCAGATTTCATGGAAAGCCAGGTTTCTTTAACCGAGTGAAGCCCATGGGTTTCACGATTTTGCAGAAGTTCCGTGGAATTCGTACTGACATCATCTAGAACCAGCTATAAAGATATAGATGACTTCAATTTATTTGTCTCAGGCTGCTGTGAAATGATGGAGAAGCCCCTTTTTAAAAACTCAAAATACTTTTACCGAACCCCTAACAACCCCGATTAATCTGTCCCTTGGAAATTATCATACGTTTGCCCCACCTTCCCCATTTTCTTCAGACTTGCTAGATAAGTAGGGATGATTATAATTTCAAAGTCGGCTAGTTCGTTGTGCAGCTTATTTTTAGGGCCACGTAAGGAAACTTTATAAGGAATAGCTGCATGGAATTTTATCCATCAAGGTTTTTCAGAAAACCTAGAACACTGTCAAGGCCTTAGGGGGGATATATTGTAGTGGAATTAGATATAAAAACAGTCTAACCCGGATAAAAATAATATAAAGCTGTAATTTGGCATAGATTCTCTATACTAAGTTGGAAATGACCAGAAAATAGTAGTCTTAAACTGGGCCCACTCAGCCTGGGCTGACTCTAGTGAAATTTTTTTACTGCAGCAGCAAATTCCGGTCAAATCTAAAGAAATATCTAAATATTCAAAACAAAGTAACTCGCGACCGAATGGTCCAAATAACATGATTTTTTCATTACAAACTAATTTAAAGATGAAGATTTAAATTCTAACAGTTTTTCAACTTTTTTCATTGACATCCTCCATCTTAGTAATTTTTGTTACTAAGACGTAAAAAACGATGCCAAATTCAGTGAAAATTCAAATGGGCTGCACAAAACTACAGCTTGATGCTGGGCCAGTAATATTCCCGTTATGCCCTTCTTTACCAGAAAAATAGATAACTTCAAAATTACGTATAATCCCAAAAAATTGCAAACTTTTTAATTGAAAAGTGCTTACGTGAAAAAGAGGGTGTTTTGAGAGTACCTAGGACCCAAAACCCGGAAAATAGTTATGAAAAACGGAAAGCCCGGACTTGGAAATTGGAAAATCCTGAAACAAATATATACTTCAACATGGTTCACCTTTTCCCGTGTTCAGCATTAAAAGACCTTCGTACCCGCAGTTATTACCACCAAGAATATTTGTCTGCAATGCACAGGGTAGATCCTTGCCTTTTTTCTCCAAATGAAGATGTCGTCAGTGTTTGCGGAGGAACAGAATTTTAGGGAAATTTGTCGTAGATTGCGAAAATATGGCATTTTCTCAACGTAACGAGGGAATTCTACACACTTGTCGGACACAGATTTTCTCAAAACAATACCTACACGGATTGCAGAAATTCTAAAATGTTTAGCGGGATTCTTAACCTGCTCCTTGTTGGATAGGATTTCATCATCTCATTTTTTGATCTTGTTAATATATAAGTTGTTCATAAATAAACTTATATACATTCAGAGGTGGCGCCAGAAATCTTCCGACAGAAGTGTTGGTGCTTCCAACAGGGGGGCTAAAGTGACTATAATATGCAGTTTTCGTACGTTATTTTGTCAAATTTCCTCCGACAATAACCTAAAATTTTGTTCCGATAGAGGGCTAGATGCTTCCGATGGAGGGACTGTAGCGCCCTAGCCCTCCCCTGGCGCCACCACTGTATACATTCTATTGCCCCCTATCTGCTATTTTTGACCAGAAAGTACTTATTTCCACATTGTAAGGGCGTGCATGTATGTTGAATAAAAGTTGTTCAGCATGAAACTGTCTTTCAGAATATGTACATATAATGTGGTTTTAGCGACATCAAAATTTGAACCCCTGCTGATCAGTGCGCCATATGGGATTTGCCCAAATAAGGAATTCCCAAGGTCTAATTGATGGGGCTTTTTTCTGGTTATTTCTGGTATCGTATGGAACCTATGTGCCAAATGACAGCTATTTATTATTTTTGTCCGTGTAAAATCGTATTTCCACCACACTAATAGTTTGATGCAGTATGCAGTAACAACAGAACAATATCTTTAATCAGCCATTGCAGCAAGATCCTTTTAAAAGTTATAGCCGGTCGTATGAAAGGTAAACTAGATGAAGAAATTGCAGATGAACAATGTGGATTTCGTGCAAACAAAGGCACACGAGATCAAATTCTAAACTTGAAGCTGATAATGGAAAAACACAGAGAGCGGTGCCATAACCTGTATATGTGCTTCATAGACTACAGGAAGGCATTTGACACAGTCGACCACGAAACACTGTGGAAAGCACTGTTTGAGATGGGCTTTCCAACGCACATCATCCATCTCATAAAAGATCTTTATGACAACCAGAAAGCAGTTGTAAGAACCACTTATGGCATGACAGATTTCTTCAACATCGGTCAAGGAGTCCGCCAAGGTTGTATACTGTCGCCGCATCTTTTTAATGTCTACTCTGAGAAAATTATGCGAGAAGCTCTAGACGGATTCAAGGGATCCATAAAAGTGGGAGGAAGAACCGTCAGTAACCTTAGGTACGCTGATGACATTGTCCTTATTGCTGGATCCATGCAAGAGCTGGAAGACCTCGTCACAAGAGTCAAAGTAGCAAGCGAGCAGGCAGGACTGATGCTAAACACGCAGAAGACGAAAGTCATGAAGATGGCTGGTGATCCAGACAACATGGAAATGCGAGATCTTGCTGTTAACGGCGAAGTCATTGAAACAGTGGATAATTTTATTTATCTCGGTGCAAACTTTACTAACGATTGCAATGACAGCAAAGAAATCAGAAGAAGGTTGGCCATAGCAAGAAGTGCAGTAGTAAGCCTCGGCAACATTTGGAAAGACCGCTCGATCACACTCCAATCAAAAATCCGAATCCTCCATACGCTAGTATTCCCTGTAGCAACTTATGGATGTGAATGTTGGGTCCTCAAGAAATGTGACAGGAACAGACTGACGTCCTTCGAGATATGGTGTTACAGAAGAATTATGCGTATAAGTTGGAGAGAAAGGAAAACGAACGAATGGGTCCTGGAAAGGATCGGCCAAGCAACCCTCATAAACAGCATCAACAAACGGAAGTTATCTTTTATTGGCCATCATAAACAGCAAGTTCATCATCAACATCATAAACAAGTTCATCATAAACAGCATCAACAAACGGAAGTTATCTTTTATTGGCCATGTTGCGAGAAGTAAAGGCTTGGGAAATGACATTCTTTCGGGAATGGTGGACGGAAAGAGGAAACGAGGAAGACCACGAAGGAAACTGGAGAACGACGTGGAAGATTTACTGGGAATGACCATGGCCGAGCTGCTTCGGAAGGCGCAAGACAGGGACACTTGGCGGACAACCATTGCGTGTGCCACGGCGGGTCAGCCCTGACCCTTTCGTTACTGATGATGATGATGAATAGTTTGATATTCGACTCCTTCGACCCCTGACCTATTATCAAAACGAGACTGCAAAATTTTTACGTAAACTCGGAGAGGAAAATGGCTGCCTTAAACACGGGGCTAAGAACGACCATTGGAAGGAGTTATGGGCTGCTAAGAAGGGGTTTGTTTGGTACGTGCATTAACTGCACTTAAATTTAACTTTTTAAATTTTCGTTGGCTTTCTTAATATCAATAAGAAGATGATATTCAGCTCCCATTCTACGAATATTTTCGTGCAATGTAATAACCGGGATACAGAGAGTTGCATAATTTTTTGTACTTATATGCCATATTTATACAAGATAGCCTTTGATGTAAAGGTGTTACTGAAATCATTTAGATTAGTTTTTTAAAATTAATGGTTGTATGTAAACAGATAAAACTTACAAGAAGCAGAAATAAAGCTAAAACATGACATATCTGAAATAAAGATAGCAACAACTAGGCGCTAAATTTAAAGAAAACCAGGGTCGGCAAAACCTTGTATTTTTAACATAAATGAAGTTTGCAATTTGTATGCACATAGTAATTTTAATTACAAGCCAATTATTACAATTTTTGTAAACCCTAAAAAATTTTATAACATATTATTTTAACAGCCTATTTTTTTCATTTATGTCAATGCAGATATTTATCTGTATCTGCAGCAATGAAAGAAAGTTAGTCCAAGTCTTGACCAGATACATTCTTCAATTTTATCTAACAACAAAAATGAAAACTTGGTCTTACTGAAACAAAAGCGTTTAGGCATAAATGATATTGGGTAGATCACAAACACATAACCAATGCTGCCAGTCAAATCAAACCATTGAACACACACGTAGTAGTAGTGCATACATATGTAACATTACCTTTGTGTGGCAGCACAGTTAAAGTCTGTCACACATGCGTTTCATTGCAAGTTGACCAAGATATTACAGGTAGGGACTTTGTGCTTGACATGGCAATATACTTAGAATGATAATTTCACTTATTATCAATTACTCTTATGTACAGTAAATATTACCATTCCTTTAGGCAGTGCAATAGTGTCAAAAAAGAAGAAAGATCCAATTGATTCTCATGTACTGGGCGATGACAACAAGGATTTCGGAGACATTGTAAGGGATGATGAGGTTAAGGCAGCAGAGGGTGAGGAAGTGCCGGAAATTACTTCATCTGCAAGTGCAAACAAGTCAGATGATCAGGACTTAGGTGATATTGTGAGAGATGACACAGTTAAAACAATCCAAATTGATGGAGACATATCTAGTACCAACTCAACAGAAAAAATAAACTTTGCAAAAGAAGCAACCAAAGACATGTAAGCTATCCATAGCTATTGTTTCCAAAAATATCATTCTTTTTTATTTAATTTATGTCATTCTTTTTATTCACATTATGTTAAATTATTTAGAACTGGACAGGAGCACATCAGAGAAAAAATAAGTTTGTCTTACAGACCATCTCAAAATTAAGGAGCTCAACCAAATGCTTTCACTTTATCCAGTAATGGTAGTTATTTGAAGTAAGGTCTCAAAATTCTCTGGTCATATCAAAGGTCTCAAATTTAGTACAAAAAAGCCTAAAAGGTATAGTAAAAACACATAGAAATTGGTGCATGCATTGCAACTATTGGCTTATTATTCCATACAATGGTCTATAATTTATCTTCTCACTATCATTCATCCACATAACTTCCATCCTTGGAGGAGACTGGCCTATGTTAGGGCGATATCTATCTATCTATCTATCTATCTATCTATCTATCTATCTATCTATCTATCTATCTATCTATCTATCTATCTATCTATCTATCTATCTATCTATCTATCTATCTATCTATCTATCCATCGATCTATCTATCTATCTATTTATCTATCTATCTATCTATCTATCTATCTATCTATCTATCTATCTATCTATCTATCTATCTATCTATCTATCTATCTATCTATCTATCTATCTATCTATCTATCTATCTATCTATCTATCTCTTCTATTCTATCCTAACTATCTATCTACTCTATCTATCTATCTATCTATCTATCTATCTATCTATCATCTATCTATCTAATCTATTCTATCTATCTATCTATCTATCTATCTATCTATCTATCTAATCTATCTATCTATTATCTATCTATCTATCTATCTATCTATCTATCTATCTATCTATTCCTTTAATTTCTATCTATCTATCTATCTATCTATCTATCTATCTATCTATCTATCTATCTATCTATCTATCTATCTATCTATCTATCTATCTATCTATCTATCTATCTATCTATCTATCTTACTTACTGTACATTAACCTATAAATAGGTATTATGTACAATGGTTAGTATACAGTAGTTAGTATATCTATCTGAATGATTAAGATAAATTTTACTGGACTAGGCCAACATAAACAGATGAAATGAAATCCAAAGCATGTAAAGCTACATTGACAATAGCAGAGATGCTAGTAGCAAGCATATCTACACAGAAGAGATCTTCTTTATTTGTTGTTGTTATGCTAACAAATGTTCTTGGAAGTTTGATATCTATTTTTTAAAATATTGTTTAAATGCATTGTTGACAGTTCATTTTAAAATTTTTTAGGCACAGCTCTACCTCTTTCTCAATAGATGACATGTTACTTAGAAGGTAATGGATTCTGAAATTTTAATTTTTTTATAATGAAAAGGAACTTGTCAATGCTGAAGTCAAAGACTGATTAAAAATAAAATGAAGATTCAGTTACCTGTTTGTGTGATGTTGTCAAATAATAAACATAAAAATTCTCTAGGAATCCTTTCAATATGTAGCATTGAAAAGATTTTGTACCTTGTATAATTTTGTATTAATTTTACAATTTACCATTAATTTTTAATTATGTTATTAGTTTGGCTTTTATTAGCTGTTTTTAAATTTTCTATATTTTACCTCTGGCTATTTTAATATATTGCCAACATGTAAATGAAGTGATAGTAAAGTACTGTGTCATAGCTAGTTTTTCAATATCAAACTAAAAATGCTCAATATGTTTAAAACTAAGAATCGTCTAAACCCTGAATTCATCCTAGAAGTGTTTCCCTTTCAGAATAACCAGTATTGTTTCAGAATTAATAATGAATTCTTTCAACCGAAAGTAAAAACGGTTTCATATGGAATGGAAACTTTACGTATCAGAGGGCTGAAGCTATGGCAGACATTATCGCTTATATATAAAAAATTCTACTTCCCTAAACGAATTCAAAACAAAAATCAGAAATTGGAATTCCTCTGATTGCCAATGTCCTCTGTGCCAACCCTACATCCCATCATTGAGATTTCTTTAGTTCAGTTTTATACTTAGTAATGATTTGTTACTGTTAATTTTTACTTACATTGTTAGTTTGCCTTTTATTAGCTATTTGTAAATTTTGTATATTTAACCTCTTGCTATTTTAGTATATTGCCAACATATAAATAAAGTTATTATAGTAAATAATAATGATAAATAACACAGATACTATCTGAAAATGTTCTTTATTAACGTCCCACTATATCATTTGTGGTACTCTAAGTGTACGCTAAGAAGGGATCTAGTTTAACAGTGTACTTCTTACAGGAAGCGGGACACAGCTTTCTGCTTTTTTACTGACATATCAACAATCATTACGGAATTCCCAATTTTCATGTTTCTAAAAAATAGGCTTCATTTTTATCCAGTTATAGTTAAGGTTTTGTTGTTTTTGACTAATATTCCAGGAGATTTTCTCTCACCGCAAGATTAGAGGAGCAAGTTTTACAAACTTTGGGAATCCATAAGAGTCCAAGGTTTTTCACTTTTTTCAACTTCAAATTTCTGAAAGTGTTCCTCGTTATTTTCAGTGCTACAGACAGTACAAATGAAAATGAGGATGCAGAGGACAGTGACGAAGAATACTACTATTATGACTCCGAAGATGACATGAAAAGACAAATCTTGAACTCTGCATTAGAATTTGTTCCTGAATATGGATGGTCAGATTTTGCAATACAGAAGGGTGCAGAGGCAGAGGGTTTATCTTCATCGATCGAAGGCCTTTTTACAAAAGGACCAGGCGATCTTGTTTTACATTTCATTGATGAATGCAATGGTAGATTAGCAGAACAATTGTCGGAAAAATCCAAGTTAAACGAAGAGGCTCCTGGTGCTGCAGCAATACCGTAAGTGAAATATCTACATATCCATTTTTGTTTTTCATCGCCTCTTTGCTATATCCGAGGCAGCATAGATACATCGTTTAAGATTCAGACAGAAGGCATGGTTGTAACTCAAGAACTTCAAAGATTTGTAGCCTGGACTATTTGTACAAGGGCTCGTTAACCATCATGAAATATTTAATTTGCGAAAAACTTTAAATGTTCAGGAAAAGCATTGCGATGAATGGTACAGGCCCCTTTTTCTTATTAAAGGACAAGTGACACGCTTTTGGCGCCAAATTTTTTTCTTCTTTTAACTTAAAGTAAAATGCTGTATGAGAGTGCTGTTAAAATATTTTTCCTTTCTGATTTCATTTTCCTACTTAAAAACCCTTTTCAAATTATGGCGGGAAATGAGTCACGTGACACCGTGACGTAGATTGTGATAATTTGCTATTGCTGCTACTGCTATACAGTGCAATATCAACGTTTACAACACGTTTCTAAACGAATTCAGTTCGTCTGGACCTGTCGCGTCGTGTTTCGCAAACTCTCTATTAATGACAGGAAAATTCCGAGTCATCACAATGTACGTCATAGGGTCACGTGATAAAAAGCAAAATCGCGCCCCCTGCGCCCCCTGATTAGAATTTTTTGTTCTAAACCAGGAAAAACTTACTTCTAAATGATGATCTATAAGTTAATGAAAAGAAAAGATAGGGTGAAAAGTGTGTCACTTGTCCTTTAAATATTTTGCTAGTAAATATTTTCCTAGTCGATGAAACACCAATAACTTATTGTAGAAAAATACAAGACTTCTATTTCTAAGGCAGATTTTCTCTTAGTAAAACTTTCTGGAAAATGATCCGTTAAAAAACAAACATTAGCCTTTATGTCAGATTAATTTTATCATGTTCTATGTAATATGTTTTCTTCTTCATGATTTCTTTCATATTGTGCTCTTTGCAATTAGAAAACGTTCGACGACTGATTTTCTGCAAGAGGCTCTGATGGTTCGACTTCTCATGCTGCGACCGTACATTCATACATGGCCTGAGGTAATTCCACTATTTCCATACTTATTTTTCTAAGACTGTTATTTTTTGTTGGTATTTTATTCCCTTAATGTATTATATTCACTAATTAAGATTTGTACTCTATTCTCTAAATTTTTCAAACTGAAACAACATAATGGCACATGAATTTCAAAATGTTTCCTTATGTTTATATGTACTTGAACAGCGATAACCATAAATTTGTAACAATTAACTAGCAATGATTCATTACCACACCCCCCCCTCCCTAGAACCTTATCCAGGAGTAGTTCATCTTTACATTTAAGCTTTTGGTGTACAGAACAGGACTGTTCTAAGGCTCTACCCCGCGTTGCACGCTTCATGCGATCATCAGGCAACATATGATCAGGTTTACCTAAAGATCGCATTAAGCGTTAATCTCGGAGTAGCGACTTAGAACAGCCCTTTTCTATAAACCAAAAGCGGGTACAGCTCTGCCTATACGGCATCGAGCACTGACCAGACCGGGAAACATCAATCTTTATATATATGTCAGTATTGGATGAATATGTATTGAATCTAATACCAATCTGCGAATTCTGCATTAGACATTTTTTGGTACAGGCGATTCGGTTGTTAATGCGGCCCGAAAATGCACAATCCGCGACCGAAAGTCTAGCGCATATGGTAGACGAGGTTTGGTACCATGCCGGAGACACATCAACAGATGTAAGGAAACATGCATTAGCTTCACTTTTAATCTGTATATCCATTCACATATCGTAATGCAGCCCATGTGTATTCCTCCTTTGCATCTGCGGTACTGCTTGCTATCAGCAATATGAAGCATGAAGTTTGTAGTAAAGTTTGGTATTGGTATGCACTTTATACGATATGTAAAGTTTTCTTAAGGCATTTTACGTCTTAACCCGAGCGTCGCTAATTGCTAATTGTCCGTTCCCAGAAATACCGCTTGTACATACTCTAATGATTCTTAGAATGAAAAACATTGTAAATAGGCACAAAAATAATGCCATCAATTGTTTGAATCATCAGCACCATATTATATGGTGACTGGTTTTGGGCTAAAATGGGCAAAATCCTTTTATATTCGGTGACACCTCTTTCAGAATTAGACTTGAAGAGGTATCCCCCTCATCCCCTCCAGAATAATTTTTTATTGAGTAACTTCCCTGGTTCTCCTTATTCAATTGTTTAAGTTACTTTCATTTCTAACCATCAAATGTTTCTTGTTACTTTCACTTCAGCCAAAATACCCATATTTTTTATTTTAATAAGTACGTCAACTAACGTTTTCAGATCAGGGCCTTATCTGTGTATTTTTGCAAGTTTTTTCCTTCACTCTAGTTTAACTGGTATACAAAAAGGGGTGCTCTAGCTGCAATCTATGGAGCGTCAGGTGACTCAAATTATTAAATTCTTGCATGCGTTTTATTGTCCTGGATGTTATCCGTTTTCAGTTCTGTTTTATAGCGGCAGTTGGGACGCAAATCATGTTAGTATCAAAGTGGAAGATCTCGCAGAAGACTACACTTTCTAAACTGTACGAACTTTACCTTGTTCGTGAAAAACCTTGCTCGTTATTTACTAAAGCGTATGAAATGTCCCCCTGTTGCTTAAGTGAAGCGCGAATTATTTTTACAGGGTGATATATCCTTGAAAAAGTAGCGAGTTTTTTTGCTTTGGAAACATCCTAAATTGTCTACTATAGCTCGTTGTCGCTGTGTAATGAGGAACACTGATTCGGTAGTTTTAAATCTCTTGATTCAATTGATTGGTTCTGATACATCTTATTTGTTTGAAACGTTTCTGATTTCTCCAATCGCCTACAACTGTGTGCTTGTTTTCCTGCAGAGCTGTACATGACGCAAGATCGATCTGTGAATTTTGAAGATACAAGAGAGTTCGTGAAGAACAGGCTAGAAAACGCTAATCAGTTGAAACAAGCAACACTGGCGGTAAGTTGTGCAAATATTGTCTCGTCATATGATGAAGATATTTTGAGAGCCTCAATCAGTGTGTCGTCTTTAACTGCTATTCTAAACTTTGCTTGATGTAACATATATGAATAAATGTGTCATATGATGTATTGTTTCGTGTATGTTGAGGTGTCTTTCGTTGAAAACGATGATTAAAATTTGAATGCACATGATTCTATATTGGGTATTCTTGAGTCGAGAGAGCTGATTTTCTGTTAGATTTGTTGTCTTCAAAGGTTTGATTTCGTACCGCTGCATTTCTCAAAGCACGATTTCTGTCTTTTCTTTTAAGATGGAAGATGCTGTCAATGCTGCTTGCAGTGGAATGTCAGTAGTTTTATCAACAGTGAGTGTTTGTTTACTGCTGTTGTGAATCATATTGTTTCAGCATCTGCTCCTGTATTTAAGGTTTATGATGCAGCCCGGCCCACTGAGAAAATGGGGCAAGGGAGCAAGGGGGAATCGCTAGGGGTACGGCGCCACCAAGAGGCTTGTATGATGGTAACAGCAAACGTTCTACGTCATTCTAAATAGAGAAGAATTATGTGGGTATAGTGAGGAAAATATTAATGTATTAAGACAGGCTAAGTCTGTCCCACAGTTTTCCGTTTTGCTTTGTTTTCAAACAAAATTGAGAAGCTCTTAGTGATAATGTCGTAACATCAAAAGATGCTCAGTCGACACAGCTTTTAGTTAGGGCTAGGAGTCAATGTATATCTACATTCTGTGATAAAAAAGGTGAAAAAGTTCAGTTTGATGCACACTTTACATCCCCAGATAGTGAAGAGAGAAAGAACTATATTATGATGGAGATACCTCCATACCGGGATAAGCAAAGGGGTATAAAGCAACTTCAAAAATCTGATCTACATTGCTGTAAACATCGAGACAGACGTGTAAAACAAGAAGCTCAATGATACAAAAAGTTCAACTGACTTAAAACTAGATAATTGTTGTTACGACGTTTATTCTTGAAAAATACGTTTTTCACTAGCTTCGATATCAAAATAAGCCTTTAGTACCGTAAAATCTGAAAACAGCACAGCGGACACATCTCACACTAAAGTACATTTCGTCCGACACTCCTCAAAGTATCAACGCATCTTGATGTAAATTTTCTCTCTACCTATGGATATTAACGTTAATTGTCTAAGGAGTGTCGGATGAAAAATACATTAGTATGATATGTTTCCGCTCTTTCGTGCTTTTTTAGACTCTTTCGCTAAGATCAGGTCGTCTATGCCCATTTTAAAATAGTCCAAAACATTTGCCTGAATTAACTTCATTATACATTTGCTTTTTTTAAAAAAAAGCTTATTAGAAGCAGTTTGCTCAATTTTTCAACAGTTAAGAGGCAGCCAAGCCTAAATTTAAAAACAGCAAGACAACTCAACTCTCTTCACTGAAAACAGTTTTACATTGAGCGCTACTATATACTAAACTGGTCATGCAGATTGCGTTATCAGTAGAAAATTACGTTTGAATCTAGCGACGTACTTTATAGGAGGTACCTTATAAAACATTTATTACCTTGAAATTAAGCGCATTATAACACACAAGGCAAGTTATCAGATGTTTCGATTTGTTTGGCTGAAAACTATCCTAAGTTTAAGTTAAGTATGAAATGTTTTTTCTTCTGTAAAGTTGAGCAGTTTGAGTAATTTTGCTCCAGCTGCAAAAATGGTATCTGTGATCATTCTGTTGCCTATGTCATATGAAAATAATTTTGATATTGAATTAAAACGTGCTTTAAACTTTTCTCTCTTGATCAACAGGCACAAAACATACTCGGCTACAACTGCCGCAGAAGATAGCAAGATCAAAAAGGTTGTTTGGGAATGAAATGCAGTTTGAAGTGAAAGATGAAGCCTAGTCGCACGAAAGATCTGCTTCGTCTGAACGATTTTTTGAAATTACTGACGTGGAGCGAAAAAGATTTTGTTTGTTAAAAATTACGCTTTTGCTGAAAGATAAACTTAAATGGCAATATCGTATGTAGCTTTTGTTAATTAGAATCAGTGACAAAAAGATTTTAGAATGCAAATTTCTTGGTGGAAGGTATATTTTCTCTCATCTTTTAAAAACTAACAATCAATCTAATATTTTTACACATAATATAGTAAGCTTAGATTTGCTATACAGCTTGTTTACTCATTTCACTTCAAATTCAACGCATTATGTATATTTTCACATCAAAAAGATGAATGTTTCATACAGAACCTAAACATTGACCTCGCTTAACGTATAAGATATTAGTTTCCGTTTATTTTGTAGTTATTTATATATTTTGAACATTTCTGATCACCTGGTATGTTTTACTCAAACCTTTTCCTGAAATTTTGATTCGTCCATTTCTTATTTCAGTTCTATGTTAATGGAAAGTGAGTGTTTCTATGTAAATGGAAAAAATCGAATTGATCATGTTTTTATTGATCATAATATGATTCCATATAATTCCTCATTTGGAATTTTATTTAAAAAATTGTGGAGTACTTATAGTCAGATACAGTATAGCAACATCCCAGCATTTGCCAATTTCTGGATGCTACGTGAAACTAAATGGCTATTTTTCAATATTACAGCACTACGTTCAGACCATTACCTATAATGGATGAAGGTAATGTTTATTTGGATTATAAGTGTTGATTGGATGGGTATTGTCCGTTAACGGTCTGCACAGAAGATGAAAGCGGGCTAGGAAACATTAAAATAATGTAGCGCCATGGGCAGCGCCAGCTTCCGAAAAATGGGGATGGCTGGGGATCTAGAGGAAAAAACAATAGTATTTTTAGGGACCACGCTCTGTTTGAAAATAAAACATTCATTTCAACGTAAGACAACGAAAGGGGCCACAACTCAACCCCGTCAGAGCAACGCTCCTTAACACATCGAGCTTTTGAATCGAGGAAAGTTGATAGAAAGACCATAGAGAAATTTAAAAAAAAAACGTTTGTCGTGCAAATCATTAAAAAGGAACTTTATGATAATTGGCAAATTTTAGAAGTTCTTCTAATTGTGCAAAATCGACTCGCTTCTAATTGGTATGCTTCTCACATCACGCTTGTTTCTAATTTGTACGAGATCTTGCAATCTTTTTGGTGACATAGCAGCTCTTAACTAGTTATATAAAATTTTCAACTTATTCTTTGTTCGTTTACATGGATCAGCATACATAGGGGGACTGGGAGAGTAGCCACTATCCTTATGAATTGAAACATGTCTGCATTCAAGTCGTGCAAATCATTATGGTTGAATACCTTTACACCCCCCCCCCTTATTTCTAACCGGATCTATACCAATTAAAAAATCGACCTTGGCGAAGATTGGGGAGGATAAGTCATCACAATTTCTCCTCAGTCTGCTCCGTGACACTGCTGTCGACGGTTGATGATCAATAAATTAATGAACTAGTGGGCCCAGAGACCCTGAATAGATAACACGCCAAAGATAATCCTTATCTTTGTTTGATGTTTACGCTATTGTCGAAGAATGAACAAAGATATGATAAACATAATAATAATGTAATTCTAAAAATATATTTTAATGATGTCATGGAAATAGATACAATTATAGCCAGAAGAATGTCAGAACCTTCATAAACAGTAGACAAAGATTAAGCCAGAGAAAGCCACAGATAGAGACAGCATCATGTCAAAAGACCTCAGTATAACCAAGGAGCCTATAAAACAGGTAAAAGGGATTGCTCGACAAAATACTGCACCAAAAATAACTTCCACTAGATTTGAAATGTCGCAAAATTAGGTGGGCACAGCTGACCTAAAGCGGTTTATCTGATCAATCTTTGATCCCATTCCTCTCGAAAAAGCTCCTCCAGAGTGGTAGTTTGAATTTGGCGCCGACTTTGAAGAAGATTTGGGCCTAGAGGTTCTCTCTCGAAAGCAGAAAGCGAACCTCAAACAAATAGAAACCTTTGATGAAACAAAATGACTTCAAGTTTGGTAAGTTTAGAATTATTATGATTTCTTAGTTTAGAAATGTGCCTCTTTTAACTGAAAGTCAATGTTGTCCTCCTAACAGTAAGTTCTGTAGATTTTTCAAAGAGTTTAGGTCAGCGATCTTTTAGAGTTCTTAATTATGCCAATCTGATCTTATCTCAATCTAAAAGAAATTTACATCTCAGGATAAAATTACCCAGGTTTTTAAGGCCCTATACATTTCTAGTCTGTTTCTCCTTCAAAACAGGGCTCTTTACTTTCGTTTAAATAATTGTAATAAAAAAGTCAGTGTTTGTTTTGAATTGTAATCATCCATTGTCAATGCTAAGGCCAGTTTTCACAAATATTAACAACAGTTTGTGTAATTGTTTGTTCTCTGCGGGAAATATATCTTTTTCATCATGGACTGCAGATAACATGACTTGGGATAATATATGGTTGTATATTTGTGAAATAAAACAGATAATTACTTTGCCTGGTACAGATTTTAGGTGAAACTAGCGTTTGGCGTCGATCCTGTTCGATCTCTCTGGTGTATTTGGTTAAGTCTGTGTCATGAAATTTATTTGCGTAGGACAAAGCTTCTTATCCCACTGTGTAATCTGCATTTTTTCTACGCTTGATGCTTACCAATAGATAACAGATGGCTATATAGACTCTAAAATTTGACAAATTGAAAAAATAAGAATACTAAAGAAATAGAAAAAGAGTTCAGTCTCACCCCAGTACAGAAGGCCTGGAAGAAATATATGTCATAGATCTCTGCTGTAACAAGTACAGATTCCACCCTAGGGGTAATATTTGGTCCAAAAGCCTTGTTCAACGTGTTTGCTTAATAGTAGACGACAAAAATGAAACATTTTTACTGAGGATCGCAAAATGTCACCTAGAACATGGGAAAGTTTAACGATCCAATCAATATTTCTGAGTCAAAGTGACCAGGAGGACAGAGTGGAAATAGGAAATATTTTTTCATGTTAAACCCTCTAAAGAGATGCTTACTGCTAACAATGATCTTAAATGCCTCATGGTTGTATTTTTTTGCAATTTATTGTCTAATTTATTTGAATTTTAAATCTCCTATTGGCATGCAGTTTTTGTTTTCATCTTTGGGGAGTTCAGAGACAAAACATATGAAAAAGATTATATATTTAAACTTAACCATTTTTAATCAAAAAAAGTTCCGAGAAACAGTGACATTTCAGAATGTGACATTTTCTATTTTCTGAAAATTTTGACCAAAATTGAGATGTGAACCCAAATGTTTTAGAAATGTCAAGACACTTGGTAATTGTTTCAGCCATTGCTCCAAGTTCAAGAATTACTTTTCAAATCTGTTCCATTTTGTTAAATCAGGATGAACAATTAATTTTGTGAAGTTTAATCCTGAAATATTAATCTATCTTATACATCTTTTCAGGAAGTGCATTTTTTATGAATGTGGCAAAAGTGTTCTTCTCTCATGTTTTTAAATCATTTTTATTCATTTCAATTTTGGCTTGGTTTGGAATTTTACTTGTTTTACCAAACAGAAAACTACTTGTCATAATGATAAGTATATCTAAATATTTTTGTTTTACTATTAAACCTTTTCCAACCAATGATATTATATTTTTTACAGGAAGATCCCACCCTTGAGAAGAATTTCAAAGGGCACAGAGATGCAGTTACCTGTGTTGACTTTAATCCAAATATGAAGCAGTTAGGTATGTATTTAGTTTATCATTTTACTCATGTGATAACAAGTGATGGTATAAATAAGGCCTTCGTGGAGACACTATGTTTTTAAGTGATTTTGATTTCACAAAATTTCCAGCTCCTGTTATTTTTCAATGGGGGCTTCATATCCCAACAAGCTAATTCAGTGGAGCCTTTCAAATCTTTCAATCATATCTTTCTACAATTTACTTTTGGAAGGAGTACAGGATTTTGTAATATATACTGAGAGGGAATGTGAGCAAGTGACACAAGTGGGGGGGGGGTTGAGGGGGTATTTTGGAGGACAATCATCTTTTGTTCTAAAACACTGGGGGGATGTGACATTATGTTATCAAAACAAGCCCCACCCCAATATTTAACCAAGTGTCCACCCCTGATTGTGGGGTTGAATCCTGGCCACGATGTGTCACTTGCTCACCAGTTCTCTATTTGTCTGATAGACTCTGGTTGTCAGATAAGAGAAAGACATGCAGAACAGATTTTTCACATTTTTTTCACATTTTAACATATGTAAATGTTAGAATGTTGTTAGACATTTTTGGAAATTGTTTTCAATTTTCTTAGTTCAACAAGATATATTAATCATAATTTTTAGTTTTTTTTCTTTTTAATGAATTTTTCCATCTAATATGGTTGGTGGGCATGTCAGTATCATTTTTAACATAAAATTATAAATTTTTCAATTAACATTTTCATTTTTAATGTTTAGTAAGCAGCTCAATGGATTCAAGCCTGATGGTCTGGCATTTTAAACCACATATGAGAGCTTACAAATTTGTTGGCCATAAGGTTTGTTTCAAAATTACAGATATTTTTTTTTAATTTTTGTATGATGAAAATTCAGTAATCTAGCATCTTATTGATACTAGAGAGGTCTGACTCGAAAAGGGAAACATGTGCAAAGCTCCAAGAAAAATGACAAATTAATTGTAAAATGAAGTAAAGTGCTTGATGCTATTTTTAGATAGGGTTATCGTGCTAAGGCCATGTATACCTTCATCTCTACAGCTTTGATGCAGATTAATGCTAAAAGACTTGGTACAAGACATTCAATTGTAGATGGAAAGTTATTTACTTCTATCACAAAAGGCTATGACATTCAACTCAGGGGCGGACACTTGGTCAAATATTGGGGGGGCAAGCCTATTGTTTTTAATAAGATGACGTCACATTTCCCATTGTTTTAGAACAAAAGACCATTGTTCTCTAAAGTATTGGGGGGGCGATCGCCCCCCCTCGCCCCCCCAAGTGTCCGCCACTGATTCAACTGAATAACTTTATTATATTTCATATTTGAATCCAATGATTTTAACCTTATCTAGCCCTCTAAACGTCTGTATTACAAGTTATAAATGGCCCGAAACATGGTATTTTGTCAAATTCTAAAGGCTGAAAAGGCAGCTGTTTATTTGCATTTTAACTTCAGATTATTATGCATTGCAAAAGTAGAGTTCGAGTTGATAGTGTGCATCACAGATTAGCATGTACTTTTTACTTTTGTTGCATTCCTTTTTACAACTTCTGAGAGGTTTTGTCAATAAAAGAAATAGACACACGTCAATTAATATATATAAGCTTCGACTTACACCAAGACTAGTAGCTTGCGTTGGTCCTTTTTTGTCACTTCTTCCAGCTTTGACTTTCACCAAGACTAGGAGCTTGCAATGGTCCTTCTTTGTCACTTTTCCCAGCTTTGACTTCCGCCAAGATTTTAAGTCTGCATTGGTCCTTATTTACCACCTTTTCCAGTTTCGATTTCCACCAAGACTAGGAACTTGCAGTTACCCTTTTTGTCAATATTTCCAGCTTTGACTTCCACTATTTAAGACTACAAGTCTGCATTGGTCCTTATTTGTCACTTTTCCAGCTTTGACTTCCCCCAAAACTAGGAGCTTGAAATAGTCCTTATTTGTCACTTTTTCAAGCTTTGACTTTCACCAAGTCAAGGAACGTAAGTTGGTCCTTTTTTGTCACTTTTTCCAGTATTTTCACTTTTGTTATCTTGTCACTTCGACTTCCACCAAGACTTAAAGCCTGCATTAGTCAGACTAGAAGCTTGCAATGGTCCTTAATTGTTTTTCCCCCAAGCTGTAACTTGATACGAGTAGATTAACGTTTAGTTGAGTTTCTTGTTTCTTTTCCTACGACTCATACCTTCTTAGAAATTCATTTCATCTGTTCCATAAAACATATTTGCATAGAAAAAACATTTGATATCTTGATTTATTTTAACTTTAACTTGATTTATTTTAACTAATGTGAATTAATCTTACAAACTTACATATGAAACTCTAATTTTAAGATGGCCAAGTGAAGTAAAATTTTTAGCTGTGTGCCGTTTTTAAATATTGATGAATTAGTAAATTCAATGCAGGTGGAATAGTTTATGCATCGTAGAATTAATGCTACTTACCTAGTCTGTTGTGTATCTCACTCTGTCCTACAAATTAAGGAACTATTGCAACATTTGTTTTTGCAGGATGCAGTTCTTGCAGTTAAATTCTCCCCATCTGGCCACCTGATAGCTTCTGCCTCAAGGGATAAAACCGTCAGACTTTGGATTCCTAGTGTGTAAGTCCCGATTTTTTCTTACAGAGTAACACTGTCTAGGCGGTGACTGGAAGAGAAATTACAAGGCCCCTTTCAGTTTCAAGTTATGTTCAAAGTTCAGGGTAATTTTGGTACTCAGTACTTGACAGTTCCATGGTCAAAGGGTCTTAGGGTCGAAAAGGACATATTTTCAGAGTGTTGAACAGACTTGGAATGTAGACAAGTTTAGAGTTTTCATAAGCAGAAGTTTAAATGATCCTTGGTCCTTTAGATCTTGTAGTCGTTATGATGGAAGGAATACAAGAACGCGTGGCTCGAACACTTTTACAGATGTGTAGAATGCAAATGTGAGTTAAGAACCCGTCTTGTCTTGTCATAGGAAAGGAGAGAGCACAGTCTTCAAGGCGCACACTGCTACCGTTCGAAGTGTGGATTTCTCTAAGGATGGGTTATCTCTGCTTACGTCATCAGATGATAAAACCATAAAGGTTAGTAATCCCTTTGCTTCTGTTTTCAGGTGATAAAACAGGAAAATTAGCCTTACGGTTGAATTTCAGCAGACATTTTTTAGGTGTGGTGGAAACCATGGCTAGATATCGATAAGGCGTTTTACGACTACCTTCACAAAGTGAAAGCCAACTATTCGACTGGCGATTCACTCAGTCAGTTAGTCTAGATGTACATGAAATAAAATGCGGTCCCTTACTTTACACGGCATTTCAAAATGCCAGGTTAGTGAAATGTTAATGTGGGAATCAATTTATGATAGGCAATAGAGTTTTATTTTTTAAGTTTATATCTGAGTTGTAAAACAAGAAAGAAAAATGCGTCAATCGTATCACATTAAAGACCATTGTAGATCTCACCCTGAGGGTTTAGTTTAAGATTTGTTGTTATGGTTGAGCTAAGATTGGTTCTGTCTTTTTTTATGCAAAACTTGCTTCCAGATTATTTTGAAGCTTTGAAACGGATCGTATCATTGTAGAGGACAAGTGAATGATTTTCTTTCATTGATACGGAAAATAATATGTACGTTTTGTTATCGATTTACGTGATTGAGGGCTAGGACAAGGGTTTTGTACGAAGCACAAGTTTTTTTGTCATCTTAAATAAGAATTGTTGTATTTGTTGCGAAATATGTCATTCAACTGGATGTCAAAATTCAAGGGACCCAGGTCTGATTCTTGTGGGAAGCCTTGGTTGTTTGTACTGTGCAATCAATCCTCCCTCTTCTTTCCCATGGTGGAATTAGCAGCGCGTTTCTTTGAAATATATGTTCAAGTAGTCAGATGCTTTGTGTTATTGTTTAAGTATATACTACTAATTTATTAGCTTTAGTCTTCTTGTTCCTCTCTCTAGTCTTTTGACGTTAAAGCATAAAGCATGTCTTATTATCCAGTAGTTTCTACTCACTTGACTTTTCTTCATGTATTGCAGTTATGGACGGTGCACCGACAAAAGTTCCAGTTTTCGTTTACTGGTCATATGAACTGGGTGCGATGTGCCAGGTTTGTATTTAAGTGTTTGATTGATTAATGTTCGCTTCGCTAAAAGCTTAAAAGATTTTCTTGCTTTTTACAACTTTGTAGGATTGAAGACTACCCTTGTATTCGAGTTCAAGACAAATAAGAACGAAATGTTATGACAATACAGTTTCGTGAATCTTATATGTAAAATTTTCACAAATAGGTCTCCAGTACTAAATCTTTATGTCTTAGAGTCACCACGGTGTCTTTATGCACTAATAGGTGCAATAAGCTAGAAATGTTTCAGGTGCTCTTGTTTCAGTTCAAATATCTGAATCCGAGAATCATATTGTTCATCTAGTACATTTAATCTAAAGCAAAATGTTTGAATTCAAACTAGCACTAGATCCAAATTTGTATACACAAGAGGGTATAGTTTTTTCTTTGGACTCTACGATTATGTGGGAGCTTACAGTCATCCTATTCATAACAATGAGTCCATCAAACCTGGCTATATATAACTTCCTTCCACTTATTGCTCACTGCTTGACGCTTTATAATCTGATGAAGAACGTTAAGCAACCGTGCTTGTTCGCAGAATAAAAAGTTTACTTTAGATGGGAAATAAAAGATTCTTATGAACCTGGATTGTTACAAATTTTATCTTAGATTCAGTGCTGGTTTCAATTGCATTTCAATGATTTCTCGCATAATATCATTCTTCGATATTCATGATTATTGAATTCCTTTCGTAATGAAGATCCTTTTTAACACTGGAAAGTTGAAGCTAGATCTTTAAATCCCTTTGTCCTGCCAAAATCGTATATCTAACTTGGTCTTTGTATTGCACAATCATAGACGAAGGCTAATAAGATAGAATCGTTGCAAAAATGTTTGCATACCTTCTATCTTAGCCTGCATCCATTTTACCCTTCAATCTATGGTGCCTTAATGCAAAATTGGAACATACTTGTGTGACAAACCTTTTTTCTCACAATTTGTTTCATGTTTTGCTATTTAACGTACATCGTTTTTATAAGACCAGATATGTAGGTGTTGTTAGAATTTAGACTAGTGGGTGGTCTTCTACGGCGTTTTCGTTTTTCTAATCTTCATTTGCTCTCAATAGGTTCTCGTCGGATGGACGACTCGTTGTTTCTGCAAGCGACGATAAAACAATCAAACTTTGGGATAAGGGAAGTCGTGATTGCATTCACACCTTTAATGAATACGGAGGGTAAGTGCCCCTTTTTTTGTATTTGTGACTAAAATAAATATTATTCTCATCTTTGGGTGGTCTGACGAACTGTAGATCATTGTAAAACAAAGTTCAGGATTTTGCAGGATCGAATTGAATTCTGTTTTGTATGCTTGTTCTCATTAAGAATACTTAGTACCTCTATAGCTAAAATTCTCTGGCGAAGGACACTCGCGAAAGGATATAACGTCATTAATGGCAATAAATGGAAAACGATGGATGAAAATGGAACTTCTAATGGAATGTGGTGTACATCATGACTCGAACAGCGGAGTCATAAATTGTTGTTACCAGGGCCTTCAGGATTATGAATATCCTTTGTTATGTTCCTATCGTTGTGAAACCATGGTTTCTCCCCCAATAATTCCATCCTTCTAACGGCACCTGTTGTTACTAGAAGCAAAGTCTTAGAATAATATAATATAACTATTCTTATTTCTAGTTTTGTGAACCATGTTGAATTTCACCCTGGAGGAACATGCATTGCCACAGGGGGAACAGACAACACCGTAAAGGTAAGGGACCCTGCCCTTTGAGAAGCAAATTTATGGAGATTCCTTGCTCTCTTTTATTTAGATATATTCAATATTCTCTGTCATTTTTACCGTACTAGTAACTAATATTTTTACAGGGTTTCAATTTTTTTTGCAAATCTGATGATTTAAGGTTTTGCAATTCTTTTGATACTAATTTTAGTTAATTGTGTTTTAGGTGTGGGATGTGCGCATGAATAAACTTTTGCAGCATTACCAAGGCAAATAATCTCCTTACCTGATGATTCCTTCTCTCTGCTTAAATTTATGTTTTTTTTTCATTTATTTCTAAAGTTTCTATTATGTTTGAAGTGGCCAACACTAGACTGATTGTATTTTTTGATATAACCAAAGTATTATATATCAGTTGCTGGTTTGCCAATGTGACTATCTTTTGGACAAATTGAGACAAGCAAGTGTATTCCGTACGTTACGAAGATAATCTTCATTTTTCAGTCCATGGAGGTGCAGTGAATGGATTATCATTTCATCCATCTGGAAATTATCTGGTCACTGCCTCTAATGATACAACTCTTAAGGTATTTGGAAAGAATTTTATCTCAGATTTTTTGTTTAAATTTGAAAACTTTAAAGGCTAGGACACACTATTCGATAGGTTTTAAATTGAATGACCTGGGTTAAAAGTGGATATCTGGCCCTGTGGTGCCAATTTCATGCCATATTCCCTGTGATCACTTGTCACCAAGCCTTTGTGTGCCTTTCTCAATTGAAGAAAGCAGTCAAGCATTTTTAGCATCGGCCTTTTAACTCAGATCATTCGTTCAACCATTTGTCCCCGCAATTTTTCTCTCTGATTTGTCCTTGTGACTTGCTTTTACGCTTTGTCCCTGCGATCGGTCACTGCGTTTGTCCCTGCAATTTTTCTCTCTGATTTGTCCTTGTGATTTGCTTTTACGCTTTGTCCCTACGACTTCTCACTGCACTTCGTAGACAATTCTGTCATTGCTTTTTTCTCTTCGCTTGGTCACTGTGATTTGTCTTCATGCTTTGTCGCCATGATTTGTCTCCGCGCTTTGTCCCTGCTATTTTTCTCTCTGATTTGTTCTTGTGATTTGCTTTTACGCTTTGTCCCTGCGATTGGTCACTGCGTTTGTCCAAACGATTTTTCACTGTGATTTTTCTCCGCGACTTGTCACTGAAATTCATCCCTGCGTTTTTTCCCTGCGATTTGTCGCTGCAACCTGTCTATGCGATTTATCCCTGATATTGGATTCCGCTACTTGTCACTGGGAAATATTTCCGTCACTAGTCCCGGATGTGTCGCATCTTGGTCTTCTGTGAACAGGCCAGATCGTTACCACGTTACCGGGTTTATTTTATCAGTTAGCAAATGAGACCAATTTCAAGAGATTTAAAAATGGAATCATGAGAAACTTTTTGTTATTTATTGGTAAATCTTAATTTTGTCGTAACTGAACGTTGAGTTTAGAAATATGCAGAAGATGAGTTTTAATCCAAAGATAATTGTCGTTGTTGCCTCTTCTTGCCACATGTTTTCTAGTTTGCTCCTGCTTTTGTGATTTTAATGTCGCGTGAAGCCTCATTTCAGGCAATCTTTGAAAGCCCGGCAAAACACTTCCACTGGCACTGGCATTGACCTTGTATCAATTCTCAAAATTTTGCTTGTTTTTGTAGATTTTGGATCTTCTTGAGGGCCGTTTGTTTTATACACTTCATGGACACCAAGTTAGTACTTTCAATTTTTTAAAAACATGCTTACTTATCTCAAAGGGCTTGGAATTTCTTTAATGACCTATTTTCGATAAAACTATCATTCAAATTTTGTTTATAAAGTCCTCTTTCATAAGGAAAATAATTGAGTTTTCACTGTTTGCAATTCTAATGAAAGATCGAATTTAGTTCGAGATAATGAATGCTCGCGACAACGGACTTTTGCGATAGCGAACTGTTTATCTCTACTTAGCCTTACACTAAATAACGAAAAGGGAAAGAAAAATCGTCCAAAACAGTAGATATTTGAAAAAAGCGGTGTTTACTACACTTTATCCATTGCTAGTAGCACAAATGTCGCCTTTTCTTTTTATGCTTTTTAAGAAATATATAAAAGTTTATACGAAACACTGATTCGAAATTGAAATATCTTTTCCCATACAAGAATGTGAAATCGTAGATTGCAAAACTCTTAAAGTTAAAAAGATTATGACTTGAATTTCACTGTTAAAGTTTTAGGACTTCGGTTTGCATTTTGTGCTTTAAAGAATTGCACCGTGTAGTTTTTACTTGATAAGAACGTGCTTTTTTATTTTAGATATCTGTGATTTATAATTTTCATCCGCAGATGGATTGTCCGTTTGTGAATTATGTAGTATGTGACGATGCACAAAGGTTATAGCAGAGTCCAGTTCTATTGATTCAACCTTATCTTAGCAAAAGACCCAGATCTTTGCACACGGTTGATTCAATAGGCAGCAGAAAGCCAGGCTTTTCCACAAGAGCTCCTTATCGTACAGTGCGAAGAACCCTTAGGCCTACCTTAAATCCTATCTCATCCCAAGCACCAGCCCTATTAAGGCCTATCACACCTTAACCCTATCACATGCCAAATATATCATTTGAGATAATATATTCCCCTAAGTTCATTTTCTTGCATTTATCAATCTGTTTTTTGATTAGAGTGCAGCAACAACAGTCGCATTTTCAAGAAATGGAGAATTTTTCGCTTCAGGTAGTGCCGATGAACAGGTGAACGTTGCTCTAATCTTTGTGAATTTATTTCAGTTTACGGTCCAAGTTTTCGTACCCATTAAACTTGCACGATTTTCTTTTAATGTGTGATATTATGCATACAGTTCATTGTACATTTGCAACAAGTTTCTACATAACAAATCTGTTTTACGTACATAATCTTCATGGCTTTTTATGTTTCATTTTTGCTTCTAGGTAATGGTTTGGAAAACAAACTTTGACTCCGTCGATTACAACGAAGGTAATATGTTCTAGCAATTCGATCAACCTTCGTTTACGGTAATACAGCAAGATAATATAATTTTATCGTTTCATTTTGTCTTAGACATATTGCAGCGGAAGCCCGGGATTTTTTCTACTTTTCCACTCTCTAAACAAATTTACCCACGGTGTTGTTTAAGATTTATTAAGATTATATTGAGGCTGATAACTCTTAAGAATTCAAAGGCTCACCAAAATAGATGCACTCAAAAGAATAACTCAAAAGATTGAGTTCCTGACTACAATGTTTTAATAATTCCCGTCAGTGTTATCCCATTTTGTGTGCATCTTTGCGATTTTTATCTGTATTTAAATCTCACATAGCAAGATAATAGTGAGTTGTTTCCTCATTAATTTCTTGTTTGTTATCTGTTCATTGTTACTTCTAAATCATAGTTTTAAAGGCTCACAGGAGACGGGTCGCCTCCCCGCCTTCAAAGCACGTTCATGATCCAGCTCCCAGAACCCCACCAAAGACACCCACTAGAACCAAAGAAGTAAGTAGAATTTTATGTTTTCTCTACAATACACGTTTTTGCTGATCGACTTTTTTCTTCAGTCATTCACAGCTATGAAGTGTAACGTTCATAAAACATTTTTCGACATACTCGAATCAATTTAAAAGCATGTTGGTAATTTTAGTAAGTATATTTTAGCATTTTGATAGTCAAAGTTATCTTTTCCTGATGTTTATGTATTCAAATGCGTATAGAAAACAAGAACATAATTACCTTGCTTGTTTTGCATTTCTAGATTTATTTAGTCTAAAACGTTCTTTTGTTTCCTTTGAGGCTTAATTTATTAACAATATATATTTTTTTATTTCGTCTTTGCTATCAGATTTCTCTTAAGCAGCATTGCAGTCTCGTTGAGATGAAGGATGAGTCAGATTAAATTCACCTTTAAGGTTTAGAAATTTCTCTTGCTGAATCATTTATAAACATCACTGTGATATGTCACTCTACCTCTAAGTTGCATTTGTCTCATTCATGTATGACTTTGCTGTGATGGTAAGCGCTCGTTTGCGTTACATACTCTTTAGGCCTAGCCTTTTTTCCAAAGTTCCACAGAGTACCAACATCCTGCAGTGCTTATCATTCCTTGACCGACTTTGGCTTATGCTCTTGCCTTAGATTAAACTTTGGCTTATGCCCTTGCCTTAGATAAAACTTTGGCTTATGCCCTTACCTTAGATGAAACTTTGGCTTATGCCCTTGCCTTAGATAAAACTTTGGCTTATCCCCTTGCCTTAGTTAAAACTTTGGCTTATGCCCTTACCTTAGATGAAACTTTGGCTTATATCCTTACCTTAGATAAAACTTTGGCTTATGCCCTTGCCTTAGATTAAACTTTGGCTTATGCCCTTGCCTTAGATTAAACTTTGGCTTATGCCCTTGCCTTAGATAAAACTTTGGCTTATGCCCTTACCTTAGATGAAACTTTGGCTTATATCCTTACCTTAGATAAAACTTTGGCTTATGCCCTTGCCTTAGATTAAACTTTGGCTTATATCCTTATCTTAGATAAAACTTTGGCTTATGCCCTTGCCTTAGATAAAACTTTGGCTTATGCCCTTACCTTAGATGAAACTTTGGCTTATGCCCTTACCTTAGATAAAACTTTGGCTTATCCCCTTGCCTTAGATAAAACTTTGGCTTATGCCCTTGCCTTAGATAAAACATTTCCTTATGACTTTACCTCGGACAAAACCACCAACTTTGCTTTAAACCCTCACCTTAGATAAAACTTCTCTTTGTTCCATTTAATTGGTGTATTTTGGCGCGATCTTGTTCCAAATTTCCTGGAAGGTCAGTTGCGGTGTGACCATGGTTTCTTTGCTTTTCTGGTGCGCAGGGCTGCGCAGGAATAGCCATCACCAATGGTTATTCAATCGATTGACCTTTCCTTCTGTTTCCTGTCATTTAAAATCCTTACAGCATTCTTATCCCACCCAACCTATTGCTATTTAGAATCTGACTTCAATGCTCCTTGGATATTTTTGCATTTACATTTTTATTCATTTTTAGATCGATGCAGCCAGGGAGCCGAGAGACATGTATTCCCAAGAGGCAGGGGTGATGGAAGTAGGACCAGCTTTGTTCTCCGTTCCTCAGGTTTGTTTATTTTAAATGACTTAAATCGTTAAGTCTCGGTTAGCATGTAGAGATTTCTCTCTGACTATGAGACAATAAACTATCTTGATAAATCATTTCAGTTTGAATACTGCCCAGCCTGAACTAGCAATGCAAATAATTTCCCCTACCAAAGTTCCTCTTTTTATTTGTTGAAGTTACGCTACGCATCCAGAACCTTTATCGTGCAAAGGCCAAACTATTTCCTTTCTAAAAAACTTTAAAACTATCCTATTTTACTTTAACATCTGCTCCATTCAATGTAAAGTGAAATCATCGCAAGAGAATAACGTTGATGTACAAGTCTGCTGAACATTTGCAAAATATAAACGAAATGTCTTCTGTAGAAAAATCAAACTATTCACTTCTGATTCAAGATGTCATAGCATTGTTCTACTTTTGAGCTTTTATGCGCTGGTTATTTTCTTTCCAGCCTGATGGTCGAGACTATTCTAAGTTTATCGGAATGGAAGAGAAAGATGCGGCAATCGGGCACCCTCAAACAACATCACTAGAGAGAAGGGATATTCCTCCGCAGTTAGCCACAACGCTGGAGCACATTGTAGGCCAACTTGATGTCATCACTCAGGTAATTTTAATTTTTAACTCTTACCTTTGCTTTCAATTTATTAAGGATTTAACATTGACAGAAGTTTAATCGAGCTAGGTACTGAGCACGAAGTTGAAGGCTATCTTGCTTAAGTTTATTTTAATTTTGAAGCGGTTTATTAAAGTTTTTTACCTGTTTTTCCCAGGAAAATGTTGATAGAAAATTTTCCCTAGTAAATTCTTGAAAGGAATTTCAGGCGTAGGAATCACGAGGTGTGGTCATATCGAGAGGAAGGACCAGGACACTGGTCGATAAGCATAAGCTTCTCAGTGTCCTAAAAACTACCTTCGGATGCTAGGTAGAAACAAATACAAAAAGTTTGTTCTTGATTGACAGAAAGATTTATTCAATTGTTGTAAAATATGATTTGCAGTTTTTCACGTATTTTTCTCGAGCTGTAAATGATGTAATTGCGTGAAAACCATTAATTTAAAATTACCACGCCCAACCCCGTTGTTATATTTGGTTTTTATGTGGAAGGTTTTGACGGTTGGACACTCTTTTCACTCTGTTCATCTGTTTTGCACTGATGGGTCAGAGCCCTCATTCTTCGGCGTGTTGATTTGTCCATTTTCAGTACCATCAATTAGAGAATTCTTCCTTCATAAATATTTATCTTGCATTTCATCTGGTTACAGCTAAAATGACTTATCTAAATAGATAAATATAAATCATTCTGTCCGATAGACGGTGTCAATCTTGGAGCAGAGGCTGACACTTTGTGAAAACAAGTTGAGAGAATGTTTAGACAATCAACAGAAGATAACATTACAAATAAGGCCGAATGAATAAAGGGATGTTCCATTGAAAATAATGTAAATATCTTTTCTAATTTATCTTTCCATCTTGTAAATGTTTCCATCTATTCTCAGTGTTAGTCGCGTAAAAGAACTCATTTTTTATGGTTGGCGGAGTAAGTTCTGCAATATCGTTTTTGAACAAATCGCTGCTATCTAGTAAATTTATCCAATGTCGCGTGTCTGGGGTTGAACAGACATGGTAGGCAAAGATCCGAGAATTTTGTACTGGCTATTAGGTACATCTACTACCGAGTTATCCAGAAAGAAATATTTTCTATTTCAGTTTTAAAATATTCTAACTCGTAAACAGCAGCTCTCAAGGTAGCTTAATATTCGCAAAAAAACAACGGCCCTTAAAATAAAATTACCGAAAACCCTTGCTAAAACATCGCGGAGTATTCAAAGATATCATCGTCAAGTCAAACTATAAAAGGTCTCACTGTGGTTGATATGCGCATTACAAGCGCCATTGTGAATGTTTTAACCAACCCCGCCCCTCCAAATAAGCGTCCAACCCAAATACTGCCTTTTAAAAAACAAACAAAGTTTTCGTTATTAAATGTATATCGCTGAGTCATTCAATTGAAGTTGATAATACCTTGGCAATTTCCTTCTACCACGTTCGTTTATTTGTAGCCGGTTTTAGATTTTTTGTTTTAATAAAGTTTTTAAACCGATTCCTTTGGCAGTGGTGTATTGTAAATCTTGTTGCCGCTGCAAATTTCTTATTGCCATTACCTACTTCCTGCCTAGTCGATTTACTTTTATTCGATATGATGAGATTGAGAGACGCATTTTAGTGCCTCGTCCATCAGATTACATAAATGAAATATCAAGTAAATACTTTTAATGGTCAAAGCGTTTTTGTATCTTTTCTGATTTTTATCAAGGAGTTACTGTAAATTAATACAAACAGTTTTTAAAACAAATGTTATTGAATAGAAACCACTTTGAAAAATCTCTGTTATGGGTGGTACCTTGGCCATTCCGATAGTGACAGAAAATAATTTGAATAGAAATCATGAAATTCTAAATATTCCGAGGTTTATTATGAATGGTACGTCATAACATGAAACGATGGGAACAACATTTTGTATCAATATATTGAGTATGAAATAATTGCAATTCTCTTAGACAAGACTAAATACGAAAATCCTTCAGTTTAATCGTAGAATATTCGGAAAAAGGTTCAGATGTCCTCAGAGGGCCTACAGATCTCATGGTCATTGCAAATTAACAGAAACCGTGTATTGTAGTTTTTTAACTATAGGCTTAAAACTGCAATTTCTGCCTTATGTTTCTGACTCAAAAACCATTTACTAGCTAAACTTAAGCTAAAATTTCTCTTGTAGATTAAATGAGTCGAGACTAGGACAAAAGATTTTTGACCAAAGTATAACCTAACTGCTTTTGAAAAACAGTTATTTAGGAAGGTCAACATTTTTGCTCGAGACCTCTTACTTTGAACCTTAATCTTTAAAAAGACTTATATACGCCTAAGAACCGAAGTGACTCTTATTACTTGAAAATTTAGAGAAAAATTGTACCCAAAATATAAGGCTAAAGGCTTACGAAAAATCTCAATTTCTCACGGTCAACTTTTCTCCTCTCAAAGCATTAAGTTTGGCCCTGCAATGGTATACAAAATGTTTATATCTGCCTATAGAGCGAAGTGACTCATATAAATTGAAAAATTAGAGGAAAATTGTAACCAAGAATTTTCAAGAAAATGTTAGGCTATAGGCTTACGAAAATTCTCAATTCTCACGGTCAACTTTTCTCCTCTCGAAGCATTAAGTTTGGCCCTGAAATGATATACAAAATGTTTATATCTGCCTATAGAGCGAAGTGACTCATATTAATTGAAAAATTAGAGGAAAATTGTAACCAAGAATTTTCAAGAAAATGTAAGTCTATAGGCTTACGAAAATTCTCAATTTTCACGGTCAACTTTTCTCCTCTCAAAGCATTAAGTTTGGCCCTGAAATGATATACAAAATGTTTATATCTGCCTATAGAGCGAAGTGACTCATATTAATTGAAAAATTAGAGGAAAATTGTAACCAAGAATTTTCAAGAAAATGTAAGGCTATAGGCTTACGAAAATTCTCAATTTTCACGCTCAACTTTTCTCCTCTCAAAGCATTAAGTTTGGCCCTGTAATAATATACAAATTGTTTACATCTGCCTAGAGAGCGAAGTGACTCTTATTAATTAAAAATATAGAGGAAAATTGTAACCAAGAATTTTTAAGAAAATGTAAGACTATAGCCTTACGAAAAATCTCAATTCTTCACTATCAAATTTTCTCCTATCAAAGCATTCAGTTTGGCCCTGAAATGATATACAAAATGTTTATATCTGCCTATAGAGCGAAGTGACTCATATTAATTGAATTTGGGGGAAAATTGTAACCAAGAATTTTCAAGAAAATGTAAGGCTATAGGCTTACGAAAATTCTCAATTTTCACGGTCAACTTTTCTCCTCTCAAAGCATTAAGTTTGGCCCTGAAATGATATACAAAATGTTTATATCTGCCTATAGAGCGAAGTGACTCATATTAATTGAAAAATTAGAGGAAAATTGTAACCAAGAATTTTCAAGAAAATGTAAGGCTATAGGCTTACGAAAATTCTCAATTTTCACGGTCAACTTTTCTCCTCTCAAAGCATTAAGTTTGGCCCTGTAATAATATACAAATTGTTTACATCTGCCTAGAGAGCGAAGTGACTCTTATTAATTAAAAATATAGAGGAAAATTGTAACCAAGAATTTTTAAGAAAATGTAAGACTATAGCCTTACGAAAAATCTCAATTCTTCACTATCAAATTTTCTCCTATCAAAGCATTCAGTTTGGCCCTGAAATGATATACAAAATGTTTATATCTGCCTATAGAGCGAAGTGACTCATATTAATTGAATTTGGGGGAAAATTGTAACCAAGAATTTTCAAGAAAATGTAAGGCTATAGGCTTACGAAAATTCTCAATTTTCACGGTCAACTTTTCTCCTCTCAAAGCATTAAGTTTGGCCCTGTAATAATATACAAATTGTTTACATCTGCCTAGAGAGCGAAGTGACTCTTATTAATTAAAAATATAGAGGAAAATTGTAACCAAGAATTTTTAAGAAAATGTAAGACTATAGCCTTACGAAAAATCTCAATTCTTCACTATCAAATTTTCTCCTATCAAAGCATTCAGTTTGGCCCTGAAATGATATACAAAATGTTTATATCTGCCTATAGAGCGAAGTGACTCATATTAATTGAAAAATTAGAGGAAAATTGTAACCAAGAATTTTCAAGAAAATGTAAGAGTATAGGCTTACGAAAATTCTCAATTTTCACGGTCAACTTTTCTCCTCTCAAAGCATTAAGTTTGGCCCTGAAATGATATACAAAATGTTTATATCTGCCTATAGAGCGAAGTGACTCATATTAATTGAAAAATTAGAGGAAAATTGTAACCAAGAATTTTCAAGAAAATGTAAGGCTATAGGCTTACGAAAATTCTCAATTTTCACGGTCAACTTTTCTCCTCTCAAAGCATTAAGTTTGGCCCTATAATAATATACAAATTGTTTACATCTGCCTAGAGAGCGAAGTGACTCTTATTAATTTAAAATATAGAGGAAAATTGTAACCAAGAATTTTTAAGAAAATGTAAGACTATAGCCTTACGAAGAATCTCAATTCTTCACTATCAAATTTTCTCCTATCAAAGCGTTCAGTTTGGCCCTGAAATGATATACAAAATGTTTATATCTGCCTATAGAGCGAACTGACTCATATTAATTGAATTTGGGGGAAAATTGTAACCAAGAATTTTCAAGAAAATGTAAGGCTATAGGCTTACGAAAAATCTCAATTTTCACGGTCAAGTTTTCTCCTCTCAAAGCATTAAGTTTGGCCCTGAAATGATATACAAAATGTTTATATCTGCCTATAGAGCGAAGTGACTCATATTAATTGAAAAATTAGAGGAAAATTGTAACCAAGAATTTTCAAGAAAATGTAAGAGTATAGGCTTACGAAAATTCTCAATTTTCACGCTCAACTTTTCTCCTCTCAAAGCATTAAGTTTGGCCCTGAAATGATATACAAAATGTTTATATCTGCCTATAGAGCGAAGTGACTCATATTAATTGAAAAATTAGAGGAAAATTGTAACCAAGAATTTTCAAGAAAATGTAAGGCTATAGGCTTACGAAAAATCTCAATTTTCACGGTCAACTTTTCTCCTCTCAAAGCATTAAGTTTGGCCCTGAAATGATATACAAAATGTTTATATCTGCCTATAGAGCGAAGTGACTCATATTAATTGAAAAATTAGAGGAAAATTGTAACCAAGAATTTTCAAGAAAATGTAAGGCTATAGGCTTACGAAAATTCTCAATTTTCACGGTCAACTTTTCTCCTCTCAAAGCATTAAGTTTGGCCCTGAAATGATATACAAAATGTTTATATCTGCCTATAGAGCGAAGTGACTCATATTAATTGAAAAATTAGAGGAAAATTGTAACCAAGAATTTTCAAGAAAATGTAAGGCTATAGGCTTACGAAAATTCTCAATTTTCACGGTCAACTTTTCTCCTCTCAAAGCATTAAGTTTGGCCCTGAAATGATATACAAAATGTTTATATCTGCCTATAGAGCGAAGTGACTCATATTAATTGAAAATTAGAGGAAAATTGTAACCAAGAATTTTCAAGAAAATGTAAGACTATAGGCTTACGAAAAATCTCAATTTTCACGGTCAACTTTTCTCCTCTCAAAGCATTCAGTTTGGCCCTGTAATATTACACAAATTGTTTATATCTGCTAATAGAGCGAAGTGACTTTTATCAATTGAAAATTTAGAGAAAAATTGTAACCAAGATTTTTTACCAAAATGTAAGGCTATAGGCTTATGAAAAATCTCAATTTTTCACTATAAAATTTTCTCCTCTCAAAGCATTCAGTTTGGCCCTGAAATGATATACAAAATGTTTATATCTGCCTATAGAGCAAAGTGACTCATATTAATTGAAAAATTAGAGGAAAATTGTAACCAAGAATTTTCAAGAAAATGTAAGGCTATAGGCTTACGAAAAATCTCAATTTTCACGGTCAACTTTTCTCCTCTCAAAGCATTAAGTTTGGCCCTGCAATGGTATACAAAATATTTACATCTGCCTATAGAGCGAAGTGACTCATATTAATTGAAAAATTAGAGGAAAATTGTATTCAAGAGTTTTCAAGAAACTGCAAGGCTAAAGGCTTATGAAAAATCTCAATTTTTCACTATAAAATTTTCTCCTCTTAAAGCATTCAGTTTGGCCCTGAAATGATATACAAAAGGTTTATTTTCGCTATTTTGGATTGTCAATATTTCATCTGCAAACTATAATCCTAATCGTAATGTTCAATTTTTAGGACGATTGAAAAAAAGATTTTTCACAGGAATGTAAGGTTTGAGAAAAAGTTTACATTGTAGACTAACAGCTTTTCCTCTCGAAACTCATTCAAAAAATCATTAAATGTTGCAAAAAGGGTTGAATATGCTCATTTTCATGTATTTCTCGTGGTAATTGCAAATTAAGAGAGAAACATATTTGAGAAATTGTGAAAATTGTTTGTCTTTCATTTCTATTTCTGCGAAGTCGTGCAATTACTGTGAAGCATTGTGTTTCCTAGCCACCTTTGAATCTTTCTTAAAACTTTTCAGGAATACTCTGCCCTCTTTTTGAAACAAAACCTTGTCGCTTGAATATTGTTATATTTTTCTAAGGACTATGCAAAAACTACATGATTGACTAAATTTGCTATTTTCAATAATAACAGTCCCCTTCAAACACTGCGGATACTTCTTCAAGGCCCAAATATCAATATTTACTTTTATCTCCTGGTATTCATTGATTTTCTGAGTAGATGTTTGCAGAAATTTTTATGCAGTTCCTAACGACAATAAAGGGGCAATAGCCAGTGTATTATTTTCAAAAACTGACATAAAATATTATTATAGGTTTTGAGAAACTCATAGGCAATTGGATATGGCACAAATTGGAAGGAAAAAAATATCTAGAGGCTTTGCAAAAGGAAGAAAGCTTGGATACGTGGAAAAGACAGTTCATCCTCTTTAGCAATATTGTATGAACTTGATATGATACTTGCTAGATTTTGATCAAATTTGTAAGCTGGTTGACTTTTTAAAGAAAATTTTAAGGCAGCAGAAAATTTTAAGGCAGATATTATCTCTCTAAATATTTTAATCAACATATTTCAGAAAACAACTAGGCAAGGAAAGATACAAATCTTACATAAATCAAAGACACAAATGCTTTTAGAATTTATGGACAGCAATAATACACATCCAATTTTCAAAAAATTGTTTATTTGTAACTTCTTTGAGGACAGAATTAAATGAATGGCCACTTAAGGTACATTTTGCTGGCAGTTTTGATGACCGCACAAAATTTTAATTTTCTTAGGGGAAAAGAAGGTTTACATTAAGAGAAAGACATGAAATACATTGTTGAAACTTTATACCATCTGAAGAAAAAATATATATAATGTTATATAAAAAAATCCCATGGTATTAAACATGCTCACCAGATACAATTCATACAATCTGGTAGATACCTTCAGATCTTGAAGCGGCTCTGCATGGATGACTTTAAATGATAAATATTGCTAGTGAAGGAGGGACAGGTCAGCTCTGTGTTGCAGTATAGACAGTTATCCAAGAAACCTGGAGAAAAATTGTAATGAAAAATTTGAAATCAAACGGTTTGTTAAAGAGATGCTTGGTTGATAAAGGCAGATGACTACACAAAATGAATGTTATATCTCAAGGAATTAACACAATTCATGATGAGAAAATGTCACAAAAGTCAAAAAACTTTTTGTCACAAGAATTCTTTTCAACAAAAATTCGAAAAATCTTGTGTTTAATGGATTTAACATCTGTTTATTTCCAGAAACCCAAATATTTCAGGTTGAAGTTGTGGGGATTAAATGGTGCCATGATGAGGTAGAAAACAAATTGTCAAGAAAAAAAAATTGGAAAATTTTGACAACAACAATTGTTTCCTTGACTTTTCTTCCTGCATTTTTTTCCTTAAAATACTTTGCGGCCACCCTTAAAAATCATTAAAAGTTAGATAATTATACATGTAATTTAAAGTTCTGGGGTACTCAGTGGGAAAATACTTGGTGTGTAGTTGATGTGTGGTGCATAGCAGATTATAGATAATATATTTTGGGGCTCATTATCATAAATTCAAGAAACTTTCATTAAAAAAGGAAAAAATTGGCAAAGCAAAAAATAGAAATATTGAAATGGATTTTTCATCAAACATGGGAAAATGTTAGATTGGTCAGAAACTCACAAGAAATACTGCAAAGGCTGTAAAAAGTCCTTCTTTAACAATTTCAGTAGGACCGCCATAATCATCTTCATCAACTTGTTGAAATTTAGATGCATAGAAGAACACAAGGGCGCAGTTTATGATGAAAAACCTATAAGAGCATATAAACAAATTAAACAAAGGCTAAACAGTATTAAACCTGGTAATGTATCATTTCAGCTACATTGATATTGGTGTCCCATTCAAATAATAAGAATATGCATGGTTGCATGGTACTTTTTAGGTTTTGGTTCGGTTAGCAAAATCTATTAATTATTTTAACGCCTTTAAGACTTTATTGTATGGGGTTTCAATCAGTATGTAAACAAAGGAACTGCAGTCCTGTGGTCAGTAAGGGTGAAATGCAGCAAAGATTTTTAACTGAAATGTTTTTTGATACCAGTCTAAGAGTCATAGAGAATATAACTATGGGAATTTGGCAAACATCCATGAATTTTGTTTGCTAATATTCACGATTGTCTGTTGCAAATATCTATGAATTCCTGACAGAATTTAAACCACAATTTTAATTTTATTAGACCTACATATTTTATACACAAAAATTTTTTTGTGGATAGATTTGCGTTTACACGGTGCTGCAAAAGTTTTTTCCACTTTGCCCTCCAGTTTACTGTGAGGAATAACTGAGTCAAATATCCTTACTCGTGAACAGTAAGCCGAAAAAGAAGGTCATCCCTAAACTACAAACTCACAATAACAGCAAAAAACTGCTAAAACGCCAAAGGCAAAAAGAATTTTCATTCACTCTGACTCATATTCAGTAAGAGGATTACGTCAAAGCACATTTTAGGCCTAGTCAGCTTAAATATATGTTTTTCTGAAACAAAACATCTCTGGAATGGCTGAGAAATAAGGAAAGGACATTTCTTGTGGACTGACAATGAGACTGATTCTTTAATTAAAATATTTATCAACTACAAGCAAGCCAAAATAGAGAAAGGTCTTGATTGGGAGGCAGTGAAAACCAAATGTGATGAAATAGCCATTTGTTTTCAAGCAAGATAAGATATGAATAAATTCTTCCAGCTAAAACTGTTTATACTGTATCACATAGCAACCTGATCTACTTTTAATCAACTTTCCTAGGTGAACCAATTTTGTTCTGATAGCCACTCTAAAATTTGTGTGGATAGCATAGGTCTAGTGCAAATGCTTTCTATCTGAATTAATTTTGATGAAGATAAATATTAATCCCGCTCAGTGTAAATGGGGTTTTAGAGACCAAGGGCTACATTTTGCATGGCAATTTGAGCATAATCTTTAAAACATTTGCCCATTAGAACTTCCAACTTTTCATTAACTTTTTTATCTATAAATATAACTGAAGTTCAAAGAGAACATTTAAAAGCTTTCAAAAACGCATGCAAACTTAAAAGCATTTTGGATGAAAATATGAAATGCTGCAAGCATGAACCATACTTGAACAACAACCTTAAATATCAGCTGTCACACCCTCCTCTTTTTTATTCCCTAAAAGGGCATTGTAATGCCATTCTCTATCTTTCAGGAAGCAACAAAAAAACTAAATGTTCACATATTCTTGGCTGTTAAACACACAGCTGTCAAATAGGCAAATAATATGTAAATGGCAACATATTAGAAGACAAAGACTGTAATCTCAGCAGCTGGGATCTAGTTTTTTTCAAGAAACAGGAAAAGGTTTATAAATGGTTTATACATTCAAGAAGTAAATTTTTACAATTTTGCAAATAAAAAATGCAGCAAACAATAAGTAAAAAGAAGTTCGAAAGAGATACTTACAAAATAAGTCCAAGAATGCCTTGAATAGGAATAAAGCCCCATGCAAGACCATTTATCAATGCAACTACCTGCCGAGTCCAGTAAATTACATCTAAAAACTCATCCTACAATAAAATAGAATAATAAGAGTTAAAAAAGGAAGAATGGAACTAGACTGGATAAGTACACTCTTGACTAAGAACAATCTCCATTTGGGATTAATGGCTAAACTCCATAGTTGACATATGATTCCATGAGGCAGGCTTTGTCTGAAAAGGCATTCAGGAAAGGCATAGAAAAGAGTGCTTAAAGCACACCTTAAAACAACCACAAAGAGCAATTTAATGAACGCCTTAAAATGTAAAATGATATTGCCACAAAGCAAAATATTCCTCTCTAATGGCCACAATATTATCATTTATAAGATTTTTACAAAAGTTTATATCACTAATCTTTTTACAACTTTTTATACTTGATTTTATATTTGGTTCCTTTTAAGGCCACGTCTACAAGAAAACATTTTCAAATGAAAACGTAATTTTCCATGCACAGAAAACACAATGGCATTAAAACAATTTGAGAGTTGCATCATTTGAAAACACAGTGACAAAACATTTGATTTGTTTACACTAAGAAGACACCCTGAACTTGCTCCCTTCCCCAAATGTTTTGAGTTTGCAACAACTTTTGCCTGTTCAAGTATGTTTATGATAATACATTCACAGACGAGCCAGTATATTCAAGGACTACTTTGTTCTGCCATAGGTAGGGGTATCTCCAGATTTAGGCTTAAAGCATTTTCTTAGATATGGGCTGAGAGCTGTTAACATGTTAGCATGATACTGTATGCAAATAAACACCACATGATACCATACCCAGGGGCCAGGGGTGTGGTGCTATGAGAGCTCAATCCCCATTATCAGGGCCAAAAAGAGCCAATTTTTACTTTTCTATAAAAAAGAGCACTCCTTATAAAGATGAATTAAAGGAAATTTTATTTAGAGGCTTGAAATAGAGCACCTTGGGCTTTCCAGGAGCTCATTTTATGGAGCACCTTCATTTTGCTTAGAGCAAGGCCTGATAAGGAGTAACTGATTTTAGATCAAATCATTGTTACACTTGCTGAGATACAGAATGAATCGCAAAACTATAGAACATATTTCCACCTAATAATTATATGACCCTATCAGACTATTATTCATCATTCATAGCTGCATTATTCATCATTTCTTCCAGTTTTACCACAGTTATTGGTGTACTCAGGGATAAAGAAATAAGCGTACAGGCACATGATAGAAACTAGCATACAGGCATAAGATGAAGCTATTGTACAGAAAAAACAGTAGCAAGTATGACATGGTAGGATAAAATGGTTGAGAGAAGAAAAGAGCAAGACAAATAAATGATAGAAATATGTGAAAATATCAAATTCTTTTTAGAAAAATTATTTACGATCATATCTACTCTGTATGCTTTTTAGCAGCCTGTATAACAAAAACTTGCTAACTGTATAAAATATGTATGCTTCCCCCCACATAACTTTTGGAAACAAAGCCATCTTGGAAAAAACCTGACCCTGTGAAACACTATGACCCCAGTAGGATTTTGGTAATGAATTATTTATGTGGATGAAAAATTGCTCTTCAAGGTAGTTTCTGATCCTTTTAGAAAACACATACTCAAATCATGAAAACTTTGTGAAGATTTGCACATAACTTTTTCAAAAATTTTTCATAAAAGTTTACACTGAATGAAGAAAATATGTTTGAAGAAACTGATATGTACCAAATATTTTACTGGTAAAAACTCTGCATTTTATACATGGAGGAAGCATTTAAACCTGCAAAGATTCTTATGACAAAGATGGTCTCTTAAAAATGTGCCATGTTTATAGGCAGTTTCATTGACTTCAAGTTGCGAAGTATAATTTTTGAAGTTCGAAATTTGTATGTGATACTTGTTGCCATGTACAGAGTTTTTGGCTGAATACAATATTTTACCTCTTCCAAGAAAAATTTGTATGCCCTGGTAGTTGAACTGGTATTTTTTGAAACACCAGTGGTCGTAAGACTATAGTTGAAGACTAAGAGGCGCCACAACTGTGAGCTGAGCACACAAAAAATGGCAATATTCCAGGTCTCACCTCCAGAGAAGTTCGCGTTCAAGCCAGAAGAATGGTTGAAGTGGATCAGGAGATTTGAATGCTTCAGATTGGCGTCTGAGCTGAACAAGAAAGATGAAAAAAGTCAAGTGAATACGCTCATCTGCTCTATGGGTGACATTTTGCAGTCTTTTGGAATGAGCAAGGCTGACAAAAAGAAGTATTTTGCAGTGAAACAAAAGTTTGAGGGGCACTTTATTATCAAGCGCAACATAATATTTGAATGTGCTCGCTTCAATATGCGCGTACAATGTGGAGGTGGGTCAGTTGATAATTTTATAACTGATTTATATACCCTAGCTGAATTTTGCAACTTCCACACACTCCACAATGAATTAATTTGAGATAGAATTATTGTTGGAATAAGTGACAAAGCTTTATTAGAACGACTACAACTGGAGGCCGATTTGACATTATCGAAAGCTATAAACTTGGTTTGACAGAAAGAAGTTGTTAGAAAGCAACAAAATTTAATTACAAGTTCAATTTTTACAGGGTCAAATGTTGATGTGCTTAATGACAAAAGGCAAGCAAGGCAAAAAAAGAACAGAAGAATTGGTTGAGAAACGAAAACACGCAAAGGCAACCCAGTGGGAAATTTTTCTGAAGTTGGACAGAAAGAAATGTGATAGATGTTTTGGTCCTTTTCACAAAATAATGTCCAGCACGCAATTCCCAATGCAACTCGTTTGGGAAAACAGGACATTGGAAAAAGGCTTGCAGAAGTAAACAGCTTAGTGAAGTTTCGAGTGAGATCTTTCCAATTTATTCTGCTGATGAAAGTGATGATATTTTTCTGGGTGAAGTTTGCATCAATACAATGCACAGTAGCCATTTCAGCAAACGATAGATGCGTAGACATTTGTATCAACCCGCAATGGGTCAGTAAATGTAATTTTGATGATGATGATGATGATGAACACTCATGATATGCCTTGGCAGGCTGAGGTTTGCTTGAACTTTAATAGGCTGAAATTTAAGCTAGATTCGGGGGCAGATGTCTCTGTTATCCCTCATTCGTTATTTGAAAAGCTAGCCAAAAAGGAGATTCTTAAATTGGAGCCCACAAATAAAAGGTATTATTAGACCCATGTAATTATAAAATCAAATTTTCAGGAAAATATACAGGGAAATTGAGTGTAGACAACGAAAGGCTAAATGAAGAAATTTATGTGGTAAAAGGTCTTCAAACACCTTTGTTAGGACCAGTATCTAGTTCCAAGTTGAATTTAATTTAAAAAGTTGATCACATAAACGAAGTTGGTGAAGATTATACAAAAAGGGTTCTTAAAAGTTATTCCTCTCTGTTTACTGGTCTTGGAAAGACAGAGGGTGAATACAAAATCCGTTTAAAACAGGAGCCTACTCCTTATGCCTTAACTGTTCCTAGAAAAGTTCCATTACCTCTTTTAATGAAAACAAAAGAAGAATTAGACAGGATGTTACATTTAGGCGTAATATCTCATGTTGTGGAACCTACTCAGTGGTGCACTCCTATGGTTGTTGCTCCAAAACCAAGTGGTGATGTTCGCACATGTGTTGATCTAACAAATTTAAATGAAAATGTTTTGAGGGAGATTCATCCTTTGCCATCTGTAGACTACACACTGGCAAAATTTGGTGGGTCTAAGATTTTCTCAAAGATGGATGCGAACAGTGCATTTTGGCAGCGTAAATTGTCTGATGAATCTTGTCAGCTGACAACGTTTTTATCTTGTTGGGGGCGTTTTTGTTTCAACCGCCTACCTTATGGTATTTCAACAGGAAGTGAACAATTCCAAAGGTGTATGGGTGAAAAACTTGAAGGTTTGGAAGGAGTTGAAGTGCTAACTGACGACATAATTGTCCATGGGGCTAATCAACAGCAGCACAACCAACAACTTAGAGTTGTTTTGAATAAATTGGTTGAGGCTAATATAACTTTAAACCTAAAAAAATGTGAATTTAATGTGAAATCTGTGAAGGTTTTAGGCCATGTTATATCTTCAAATGGAATTTCTGCTGATCCATCGAAAGTGAATGCAATAACGTCAATGCAGAAACCTAATAATGTAAAAGAGTTAAGATCATTTCTTGGCATGGTCAACCAATTTAGTAAATCCAAAAGTCATTTGGCAAGTGAAACTAAACAATTGAGAGTTTTGCTTTGCAAAGATAACCAGTGGTACTGGGGCCAAGAACAGAATAAAGCTTTTAACAGTATAAAGCAATCACTTGTACTATCTTTTCCAATTTTAGCACTATATGATCCAAATAAGGAAATAAAGGTTAATGCAGATGCATCTCCATACGGTATTGGTGGTGTTGTTCTTCAAAAGCAAGAAGATGGAAGTTGGAAACCAATATCATATGTTTCTAGAGCGTTAACACCTACAGAGGCAAGATACAATCAGATCAAAAACGAATGCCTGGCTTTGTTTGGACATGTGAACGATCAAGTGACTACATCCTGGGGAAAGAAATCATTGGTGAAACTGATCATAAGCTGTTGATTCCATTGTTGACCACATACGTGTTGGATAAGCTTCTTCCAAGAATTCAAAGGTTCAGAATGAGACTCATGCGATTTCAGGTCAAAGAAATGAATCATGTCCCAGGAAAGCAAATGTACACATCAGACACATTATCGACAATGTCAGCGAATGCAGAAACCAGCCAATCTGTAGAAAACCTGATTGATCATGATGAGATGGTGTCATACATATAGAGCTTTATTCAAGCACTGCCAGTCTCTGATGTAAAGCTGCAACAAATTATTCAAGCTCAAGAGAATGATTCGGTTTGCTGTAAATTGAAAAGTTTATTCTTGAAGGATGGCCAGAGAAGTATCAAATATCTGATTCTCTTAAGCCTTATTGGAATTTTAGTGAAAAATTCTCCATTGTTCAAAATGTTATTTTGAAACCTATGCAGATTTTAGCACCTTCTGTAATGCAACTTGATGTTTTAGACAAAATTCATCAAGGACATCAAGGTATTGTAAAATGTAGAAACCGAGCTAGACAGTCAGTTTGGTGGCCAGGAATTGGTAGAGAAATTCTAGATATGGTAAAATCATGTAGAATTTGTGCAGAGTATAAAGTAAATACCCCTGAACCTCTTGATACTACAGAATTTCCTGAAAGACCTTGGCAGTTAGTGGGAATTGATTTCTTCCACACAAAAACTTGTGACTCTCTATTAATGGTGGATTACTTTTCTAGCTACATTGAAGTTGCAGATATGAGTAGGGGCAAAGGAGCAGCCAATGTTATCAACAAATTGAAGGATGTATTTGCGAGACATGGAATTCCTGAAGAGATCAGATCTGATAATGGACCTCCTTTTGACAGTGGTGAAATTGCTTGTTTTGCAAAAGAATGGGGCATTCAATTAAGTTCATCTAGTCCATACTACCTACAATCAAACGGTGAAGCAGAAAGGTCAGTGCAAACAATAAAGAACATCCTGAAGAAGGAAAAAGACAAGTATTAGGCATAGCTGGCTTACAGGTCTACGCCACTGCAGAATGGTTTTTTGCCTGCAGATTTATTAATGGGAAGAAAGCTGCGAACAACGATTCCTGTTATTCATACTCAGCTCAAACCAAAGTGGCCGGATTTCAGAAAGCTGAACAACAAAGAAAGTGCCTACTGACAAAAGCAGCAAGATTACTTCAATACATGACATCATGCGAAACCGTTACCTCCACTGTGTATAGGACAAGAAGTGAAAATCATGAATCGGGAGAAACCTGGTATTGTTGTTGAAAAGAGGCAGAGTCCAAGGCAGTACATAATCAGACCACCAACTTCAAATGTGAAGTGTAACAAAGTTCAAATCATGCCGCTACCATCTTCACCGCCTACAGGAGCAACGACATTGTCAGAGGAAAGTTGAAAGTCGGTTTCTCAAGATGTTCCACCTTTGAACATTGTAAGCATACCTAAAAGACTGATTAAACCTTCTCACAAGGCTCTTGAAAACATGGCATTATAATCAATAAAATACTTAAGAAAGGGAAACGTTGTGTTAATGCAATATGCATTATTATAAAGCTTGTACTTGATTTACAGGCACATATGGGAATAGTTATTTATAAACAACCGGTGTATAACGGGGGCTCAGCTGAGCTCAGGATGATCTAGTTTTCAGTGAAATCTAAGTGAATGCTTTATTGACTTCTCTGAAACTCAACAGTTAGTATGATCACCACTAATTTGAACACCAACAACAGGGCTGTACTAGTCCTACCCATCTGTTGTTTTTGAAATGTGTTTCTATTTTTTGCCTAGCAAAGCCCTGTCGTTAAATTTATGAACCAAAGTCTACATCATTTTCCAAGTACATAGCCAAAGAGTTCATGTTTACTATGTACGTGGCTTCTTGTTTATCATGGGTTTGCACGCTGAAAAAAACCTGAGTTGTACGCCTAATTTACGAAGATCTTCGGGCCTAAGTACATGGAGAAATGCACCCTAGGCAAGCCAATTTTCTCTTTCTCTGCTCCCAAAGTTTAAGTTTTCCCGCAAGACCCACTGCCCAATATAAGCTATCAAAAAGTTTCGGTTTAAGCTTCATCCCAAAATCATTGGTTTAAACCAACGTGTGTAAGTAGTCCATTTCAAACCAGTGCGCTAAGACTTCACAGTCTGCTCCCCAGGACGAAAGAAATCTATAATATAGTCAACATTGGTTGTTAGACTTACTTTGTCATCCCATGTAGAACCAGCTTTCAACGCTCTCTTTAGAGCAGATCCTTCTTGAACGGGGTCGGTTATTTTGCCATTTTTCTTGGCATTTGATCGATGCATTCTTGCTAATGAAATCTGTACGAAATCAAACTTCTTTGTGCATAGATCAGTGATACGAAAGGAAGAAATTATGTTTCGGCCTCGTTTCTATCACGATCTTTACGTTTGAGTTTGTCATGTCAAGACAGTTTGGCATCTTAAAACGCATTTCAGCAAAAAAGTTAAATAAACTGAGAAAGTAGCAGCCAATCGCCCAGACCTTTTGATTTTTGAAATTTTGGTTGTCTTCTTCCATAGCAATAGAGGATTAATAAAAAACCAAAAACTCCATTGTTCACGATTGTTATATGTGCTTTTTTGCGTTGCGTCATACACTCTTTTTTTATACATAAGAACACACTTTATAAAAACACTGAGGCTCGATTTGCCCAAAAAATGAGAACAAGGCTAGAATATGCTCAGGTTCAGATGAGAAATTAAAAAAAAACAATTCGAATTTTAAAATTTATGTCATGTCAACAGAACAAAACTATGTAAGTTTGTCCATAAACACAAGCAACCATTGCTTTATTTTTAAACTTTACCCGGTAAAACGTCTTGGATCAGTAAAACGTCAGTAAAACAGCATGTAACTTCCCAAATATTTGCAAAAAATCACATTTAAAATAAGAACAATTTTGAGAACATTTGAGTCTAAAATTATAGAAAAGTTAAGAGCATCGAGGATCGGCAAAAATTATCTGGTTCTTATAAAAAAAGAGTGTACATTAAGTTCCAAAAAATTCGGTATCAAAAATTTCGGCAGATTGATTCTCGGTGGAAAGAATTTCGGTCATATTTTTCAAATTTCAGTACAAATTTCGGTGATTATAAATTTTGATCGCTTGCGAGTTAAAAATTGAGGCGTCCAAATTTGAAAACACTGGAAGGTTAGAAAAATAGAAATTTTGCGAATAGAGAACTCAAGCCAATAGAAGCGGCAAAGAAGCATCAGTTCAGCCAATAGAGAACTCAAGTTTCTTGAATGTTGAGAGCGAAAATGAAGCAAGTGAAGATAAGCTGGATATCTTACTTTTTGGTGACAAAGGAGAACCAGACACTGAAAATTGATATGTCCTGGATGTATAGTTATACTAAAACAATATCAAGGAAAAATTGTTTTTTGCTTTTTTGGAAGTCCATCGGTGGAGATGAGATTTTTCTAAAGTTTGAAAATTTCGGTATGAAAAAAATTCGGTTTCAAAAGAACTCTTTGGAATTAATCTTAGGTTGCCCTGCATCACCGAAAATAAATCCCACCGAAATTGTTTGTAGTTGATGTATGCTGAAATGTGAAATCATAGAAATAGTAGCGCTACCATTTCTATGGCTGAAATCGATCGTCTCTTACCTGACCTTGCTGATCCTTAACATTCCTTGTCAGCGGTAAATTGCTGACTCAATATTTTTCAAACGGAGCATGAAATCTCTGGATTCAGAATTATTTTCCAATTATAAACGGATTATTTTCCACAAACCATTTTCAAAATTGCAATGAGAAACTACATCGCTTTCGGCTAACGCTTTTTTATACAAACTTTTCATAGAAATACCATTTTCTAGATGTTTTGAAATGGAGCAGCAGCTGCGTTACATAAACACGCATAATGTAAAATAAAGTAAAAGATCCTGTCAACAAATCGAAATCATGTATTTAAAACAGTGAGATCCCAATATAACCTACTCTGAAGGGAACTAGAAAAAATTCGTTATATCGGGAGTTCGTTAAACCGGGAGAAAACGTTTTTAGGTCTTTTCGAAGTACACGCCTAAAGATACTTTTGGTAGGCTTGTTTAGGCTATCTCCAAATTCTGTGACCATTTCACTCCACAAAACCAAGCTGAATTCAAATACCTATAATGGTTAGTCATCAAAAATGAAAATCTTTATGTTTCTCTTATAATTTGGGACCAAGAGTTTGGCAAAGCTAGATCACTTCACTTCTAGTTAGCGGCCGAATGACGTCTTCGAGTACTTCACATCTTTAATTGTGTATTTCTATTCACATTCAATTTGGGTCTCCCAATAAAATTTTGTCATCACTCATGTCTCATATGTAAGAAAGTGTTCGTTAGTGTCAATGTACTTATTCGCAGCTATTTCAGACTTTTCAAACTTTAATCTAATGCTTTGAGTCTATCAGCCAGTGCTTGAAATGATTCATAAGCATATTTTGCCGATGACAATGACGATTTCCCCCCAAGAGAAAGTGATAAATGAAAACCGAAAACAATAAAGCATAAAAAATGAAAAATTTATGTCACATTCGTCATATCGAGAATAATTATGATGAAGGGACCCAAAATTTGGTTTGTAATATCGAGAGTTCGTTATACTCGGAGTTCGTTATACCGAGAGAATTTGTAAGGAATTTGCCAGGCAGAATCCAAGGGACCAGACCTTCAGTTCGTTATACTGGTAAGTTCGTTATACCCGACGTTCGTTATATCGGGGTTCCACACAATCTCATCAATTGTTTCAAACATTGTTTCACACTATAAATAGCACTTTTCATGAAAATAGTCTTTGGTATAATCCTTAAGAGCAAGGACAAATCGAATCTCTGAAAGACATGACTTTATGTAGAATTTCCTGAAGGAAAATTTTTGAAAACAGTTATTCTTCAAAGATAATGGGAATGGCAGTACAAACAAATAATATCATCGTTCTCATCATCTTTCAAAGACACCCTCACTTTCTTCTTCTTTTTCCGTCTTATCTGACTCAGCAGTGTCTTTGCCTTCGAGGAATGCCTGATATCATAACTTCAGCCAGAAGCGGACCAGAGGCCGGAAGGGCGCTGGGGGAGGGGGTGGGGCTAAGATGGATAAGAATAGTATAATTGGGTTTATAGACTATCTTACCGTTTGTGGCTTTACCCCAGCCAGAACGTTTCTCCTGGCCTCGAGCTTGGCAAGAAGACCCTTTTTGAAGATTTAAAATTTTAAGAAATATTAGCACATATACCTTTAAACAAGTGACAAAAAATATTAACGTAAAAGAAGAAATTGTACTTTTTTAATTTTTTTCTATCTATTTTAGAAACTTTGACCTCGGAGGGAGACCTGAGATGGTTAGTTCAAATACGAATATTTTTCACAAGAAACTAAAACTTTGAGCAAGTTCTATATTCAAAAGTTTTAAAAAACATTTTTTCAAGCTCAGATACTCGGGGATTTATCCGAATTTCTTAAGAGTTTAATAACAATCTAAAAGTATATGCATGAATCAATAACTTGTTGTGGTTTTGCTTTCAACATCCAAAAAACTGGTCATCATTTGTCCGGAAATTTATTTGCTCGAATTTCAAAACTACGTCCAAAATAATTTCGCCGAAGTTTATTGTAAATACCCTTAAGTTCTGTAGAAGTGCTTTTTCGTTAATAGGTGTTGAGGTCACTTTGTATAAATTTTAAAACAGAAAGCGTTAATAATTAGTTCAGTATTATTTTCCAATCAAGGTAACAAGAAACACACCAATGATAATCACACAGGACTGAAAAATCATGTTATTTCATGGATAAGAATTAAAAGACGATAAATAAAACTATCTTCTAACGCGCGTTGCAGAATACATAAGATCCCTAAACAATATGTTAAAACAGCCAAAATTACTGTTTCATTTAAACAAAGGCAATATAAGATTTCGTTGTTGAAAAGCAACTAACTTATAATTTAAGCTTCTTGCAAATAGTGAGGAAGAGAGTAAAAACCTGGTTTATTTGCTCAAAAATGAATGCCAATCAAAACATTTTGACAGTTATTATTTCGCAGTTAAAGAGTTAAAAAATATCACAGGAAAAATCAAGAATACACTTTAATCATGCATAATAAGATAAAAATCCTCAGAAAGTATAACATCATTAGAAAGCCATTACAAATTTAAAATGTAATAGAATAAATACTAAAAAAAAAAAGAAACGTTTATACCCTTATGTACATTGCCAAGAAAATACCATAAAAAAATGAAAGCAGGAACAAATAGAGAAAACTGATCAAGTAACAATAAATATCCTCTTAGAAAATATTTAAAAAAAACAATATTTAATGAAAAGGAATAATAAACTAAAGATATACATAAAATGAAAAAATCATAAACTAGTATAAAGCAGGAGCAATTAGAAAATAAAAACGAACATCACATCAAAATCATAGTACACAAACATTTCCATAGTACATAAAAAAAGAAAATTATGGAAATTAAGGATATTCAAATCGTATACTAACTAGTATAATAGTAGATGAAGCTGAATAAAGACAAATTAAAAAAAGAAACCAAAACATTAAACTATCGTCAAAAATTAATAGTAACCGACAATAATAATAAGAAATTACCCAAACGTTAATCTAACGAGAAAACTATATTAATGAATGATAAAAATTCAAATTAAAAAAATTGACAAGATATAAAATCGGTAGGTACAATCCCATACCGCACGTAAATATTGTACATGATCCCCGCGGTGCCCTCTCCTCGTTCGTACGACGGAGTCGACGAAACTTCTTGCTGCAAGCTTGACTTATTAGTTCTCACACGCATTTCTTTCATACTCTTAAATAACAACATGTATTAAATAAAAAAGGACTAAAACAGGAAAAAAGCATCACGAAAAGTTCAAACAAAAAAAAAAAAATATGGAAAATAAAAAAACTTCAAAGACCTACTACTTAATATATTGGTAAGAAGCATTAGATAACAGATAAACCAAAGGAAAAGCAGAAAATAAAAAGCAAATTAAATACAAGAAATAACGAGTAACATCAAAAAAAAATTCGAACATAATCTTTATCCTACTGCAATGATAGAAACACATTGATAAGATAATTAAATAACAATGAATTTTCTTTTTATAGTTCCATTCGTTTTCCATTAATTCCAGACCAGAAACCGTGTCTAGTGGCCTTAACCACATTGTACTCGAAGATGTCACGTACTGATCTGTTAGTCCACTGCGGTCATTTAACTAGACAGTCAGCTTATCAGGCGTGTTAGCGCTTATACTATCAACAACATAGTTTAGCGCAGATCCCGTATGCAATCATAGACATATGCTACCAGAGCCCAAGAGTCAGATACTTTCTGAACATAATGT